GCTACTGTCCCGCCTTCACAACCCCGCTGCCAACAAGAAAGCACCTCCCACCCTGCAGTCACCGAAACGAGCTAGACGAGCGTCCCAGCCACTCTCGAATATCACCATCACTGACACCATTGAATCACGACTTGGTCATCGCGAACAAAACGCCACCACTAGTCCAGCTGCACAACAAGCCATCGCAGTCCTCCACGCGCAAGCCAGCTCTCTCTCTCCCCACAAGTCGCCATCTCACACCACTCCTACGGCCAAAACCTCACTACCATCCCATAAAAACTACGCGGCAATGCAAAAATATAGATGGCGAAAGCTTCAATGGGACATGAACACACACTGGGCACAGTCGACAAGCTCCCCCCACTTCCACCTCCTCCTCTTCCTTCTCCTCCTCCTGATCAGCGAAGTGGATCCCGCACTGAAGAAGAAGAAGAAGAAGAAGAAGAAGCAGACAAAAAGTGAGGCGGAGCTGTAGGGACTCAACCCCGCATGATGAATGATCAGGGGCACACAGCACCATGTAATCTATGCCTCGCATGAGTACCCTCAAATGGGGCAAAAAAGTGATCCTCGAGGATCGCGACGCACGGCCCCGGAGAAGCATTAGATCGCCAGAGAAAAGAAAAAAAAATACAAAGCAAAGCAAAGCACGCCGCCTGGTGTAGAGCGAGCGCTGCAGCGACTCCGCTACCCCGGGATGATACCGGGCCCTGTAAAAACGGCTGGGATGGGCGGGGCCCGGGCGCCGGCGACGAGGGCGCATTAAACAGCGGGCAGCGTGTTGCCCGGTTCAATGGCAGGGCAATAATTCGGGTACCATCACTTCTTTCATCTTCGGGCAGGCGCATGGGGCTGCCCCCCGGTCTTCCAAACATATGATATAACCAATGAGGACCTTGTTTTGGGGTCAATAATTGGGTCCTCAAGATTTCCCTTTTCTCTTACATTGAAACCCAACCTCTTCATTTGTTTTTTACATCTTTGTATGTATGTATATGTACGAGTATGGCACTTCTTCTTTTACTTTTCTTATCTTTTTTTCCTCATTTGGAGTAAAGTTTGTAGCATTTTTATTTTTATTTTTTTAGGTTTTTTTGTAATCCAAAGATGTGACATGGTTGGGTGATGCATATCAATATGACATTCTTCTTTGCATATGGGGATGTGTTGGTTTTTTCACTTGTTGTTTGACTACCCTTTTTTTTAACTGTGTTTTTTTTAACATATATATATATATATATATATATATATATTACATTAGAATGACACAGAAACAATGAAGGAAGGAGCCCCACTAAATGCAATGAAAGAGGGGGTGGGGGAGGGAGGGGGGGGGATGATTCCATACAATACAAGTGCCAAATAATGCAACATAAGTTTGTGGACTTTTGGACTTGTGGGTTATGCTTTGTGGGGGCAAAGGAAGAATACCATAACATTCTTCTCTCATTTTGGAAGGCAAAGTGATGATAAAGACTATGTTTCCATGTCCATTGGCATTTGTTTCATTCATGACTTATAAGGCGGAAAAGGGGGCATTTTTAAAGAAAGATTCACAAGGGATTGTCATTTTACAATAATAATAATAATAATAATAATAACAATAATACATCAATTATAGAAAATAATAAAAAATAATAAATAATCCTTCTTTACCCTTCTTTTTGCTTCTTTTGCTTCTTTCTTCACATCTTTCTTTTTTTCCATCCCTTCCTTTCTTTCATTATGTTTTTTGTTTCATTTTTATATTTAGTTTCATATATTATTTTGTAGTGCTTTGACTAACCATTTGATGACACATAGATGTTAATTTGGAGAAAGGGATTAAAAGACCCAACAATTGGACACGTTGGTTCATGTCTTTGAGGATATAATATAGAATATTGTGGGTGGAGTATGATTTGAGATTCCAAGGGTTCTAGTTCAATTACTAAGGGACAAGCTCCATGTAGGGGGACCAAAAGAAGGCAAATTCTAGTTGAGAACTTGAAGGATAAATGCACTTCAATATAAAATTTGGGGGATGAAACTATAGTGAACTATGCTCCTAGAGACCCCAAAATTTTTTTTTGTATAAATTATGGTTTGGATATACTAAGGGCTTGGATTATTTTTATATATATATTTTTTAAGGGTAAGAATTAAAAATGTAGGTGTTGTGGCTCAATTTTGTTCTATTAAAGGTGATCTTAAGGGTTTTGTTTGAATTGGCTATTTTTATTTTTGATTTGGTTTTCGTCTTGCATTTGATACAATGCTATTCTGTGTAAGTCCAGTTTTGTGCTTTAAAATTTCCTGAATTTTAAGAAAGAATCCTGGTTTAAAATTTCAAAATATGTTTTGCTTTGCTGGATATGAAGAGATTTTTTTAAACACTGATGTCTATCTTTAAAAACTTGAATACAGAATGCTTTTTACAACATAAAGCTCAATATTGATTGCTCTGAAAGCCATTGTAGTATTAAAGTTCACTTTTCACTCAACATCTGAATTTTGGTAGAAATAAAATAAGAAAGTATTAAAATATACGATGCTTTATTCTTAGAAGCTTCTTTTTGAAAAGTCTTAGACATGTGCAATTAAAAAAAATCTAAAATATGCATTCATAGTATTTTTTAGTATTATTAAAAAGTTAAATACTATTAATATGTAAATAATACTGTTGAGAAGACTTTTAAAAAGGAATATTTTATTTTAGAAATATCATACAATCACAGTTTAATCAGGAAAAATAATTAGCATACCCATTTTTTGCTATGTAAAATTTGATATGATTTCTACAAAGATCAGTTACTTTACTACCATTTTTTTTTCATTTAATATTATTTACAAGAGTTTTACACCTTCACAATAATTATTTTGATTGAAAAGAATGTTTCTATTTTCATTTTTCTCAGCATTAAATAAAAGATTCTGAAGTCTATAATTATCTTGTTTCATGGATGCAATTATTGTTCGTCATATCAATCAGTTGCAATTTAACTGCTGTAGTAATTTCTCATATTTCATATTAAAGACATTATAATGTTCGCATCACTTTTAATAAAACTTTTTTTTTACTATCAATATTTAAAAACAAGTTGACATTCCTACAATATTTAAAAAACAAGTTACATCGGTGTCCATGTTTACATCTAAAAGTTATATGTACCAACTTTTACATTTGATTTGTGACCCATGGCATTGCTTAGTAGAGTTAACTGTTAATAAAATGCAACAATAATTTAGTTACTTCTAAAAGTTTTAGCCTTTATGTTTAAAAACTGATTATAATTGTAGTTGGTTTTTTTTGGGCAATATTTTTGATGACATCAACATAAATATTTCAATCACTACATTTACTATTCTATACTATAAACTATTATGAATGATGGTTTTTAGAATTTCTTACTTCAGGAACAATTTTTATCTGAATATGCTATTTTTCTGTTATTATTATGTACTCAATTATTGAATTTGAATAATAGCAAATAATTTTGATTTACCTGATAAACGTATATTTATGTATGAATATTTTTATATGTGATAAATGTAAAAGTTGGTACATATAACTTTAGATGTAAACCTGGACACCATGTATCTTATTAACATAATTTAGATAATGATTTTAAATGAATAGGTTTGAAATATTTTTGAAACTTTATCAGTTAGTAGTTAAAAGCATTGATACAAACCAAATGTAATGACAATTGGTTTAGATGATTTATTACTATCATCATTTGAAATTATATGTTTATATTATAAATATAAATACCCACACTTGTATTTTGAATACATATATATATATATAATTTTAAGGACATAAATGATTTCTTAAAGCAATTTAGAAAAGCGAAACTTGTCACAAACTGTTTCACAAAAACAGGTGACCATCTTCTCTTGTAAATTCCATTTTATTTCTCAATTAAATCACCAAGTTTAAAAAATCTTTATATGGATGCCAAGTCTTACATTTTATTGGTCTAAGAAGCATTTGTAAATATATCTTTTGGATGTTTAACTCAACAAATAAGATTTTCACCTAAAAATTTGTTTTCATTCAATTTTAAATACCCAAATAAATAAATACACCAATAAAAAAAATAATATAGTTAAAAATTAAACAAAGGAATACTAGTTACACTAATTGCAAACTGGCAATTTATTAATTATAATTTTTTCCTAATGTAATATATAATCTTGAGAGTAATTCAAAAATTAGAGAATGTTTTCTGATATATGAGTGCTCTTCAAAAACGTATATAAGAACAAGGAAAAGTAAAACCTTAGATCTATTGAGAAAGAAAGCATAAACTTATTACTGAACCATACAACAATGATGCACCAAACATTAATCAAATATAGTTTTAAATTTATCATAATAAAAATTAAAACGGCTCTCTTATTCTCACACACACATATTCAAAATAAATAAAAATACATACATAGAAACATAATACACACATGCATGATTTTGTAAATGAATTAACATCCAACTGTACTTCAATTGTGATTGCAAGAAAAGAGACACCAAAAGATGGCTTTTCACTTAGAACCACCATCATTCAATGAGAGATTGTCGGAATGCAAAATCTGTTCTTACCATTCTGATGGAAGATAAGATTAGTTTCAGAGCCGAACTTAAAAAAAAATAAAATTCAATGCACCACTTGTAATTCCATATGCACCAAAGACATGGGGTATGAAATGACTCCAAGGCTTAAGAACGTTTTTATTTTTAGTTTCTTCCGATTCCCAACTTTGAACTTGTATCAAGCTCAACTTTTCTTTGCCGCAAGCTACCACAGCTTCAAGTTCGCTCACACATGACCCCTGATATGCAGCAACCCTAAGAATGGCCCAGCTGAGCACCATGAGGCTCTGCACTAATAAAATATTCTTATCACACTGAAACAGACGAGAAAACAACAATCATTGAACCCCAAGGTACGCAGAGTCAAGCAACCAAGCATGATTGTACTACACTTTGACTAAATTGCTAAATGGCCAGAGAAAAATTGTCCTACACATTGTTACGCATCCACTTTACCAAGTTTATCTCGGGAAACGAAAGCCCCACAAGCGAAGAAGCTCCAGTCTTCTACTCTGGGTTACCCTGTAGAAAAGGAGCAGGCTAGGAGTAGTACAAGACTAGTGGATACTCAAATTTGAGAACGTTCCATGCTTACAACCAGAAACTGGAAAACAATGTTCATGCTCTCGTTGGCCAAGCAGAGCAGGATGAGTAGATAGCAGACCAATTCAGGCCCATTTCAATACTACGAATATGAGTCAGCTTACCACTCGACGGTTTCGTGTGACAAATAAGGCAGTTTGTTCCGTCTTCTAGCCACGCACTTGTTTCACCTTGTCGTCACGGAACAGTTCAAGAAAACATGGAGCAACTAAAATCTGCAAAAACTGTTATTCTTGTAGCTTTTCTCGTAATTCTAGTTCAGTGAATGACAAGCACTCAAAAGGCTAACTCATGCTGTAATCTAGAAGTATTACACCTCAATATCTTTTGTACCCACAGGATTGTGCCTACTTGACGCGTCCTGCAGTGTTTTCTGAGAAGAATTAGGAAACTGAACACCCTACAGCGCCATGATTCTGCTTGTTGAAGAGGAAAGGAAAGAGCAGGTGCGATGATTAAAGACGATCATTCCTCTTTGGACCGTTGAAGCTTGGAAAAGATTCGGAAGAGGGGTGCAATCCACTGCCAAACCTTTGAATACCAATGCGTCGCACTGCTCTGTGAAGTAGTGGTAGTAGGGGGCGGTTTGAAGAGGCCCTTGTACATCTCTCGTTGTTTATCATAGAGCTCACGTTCTTGCTTTGCAATCAAGCGCAACTCGCGAATCACGTCCTTGTTGTCTGGCTCTAGCTGTCGAGCCTTCTCAAAGTCTCCCTTAGCTGCATCGGTTTGCCCTAACTCAGCACGTGCTTTCCCGCGACGAAATAAGGCTTTGGTGTTCTTCGGATCTTCAGCAAGCACCTACAGCAATCCACTGACTCGTAAATGCTTACAGACTATTGTGCTTCTCTGAATGACTTGTATCGATTCACAACATAGATCATGAAAACCATTATTTTCAACTTAATCTGATGAAATCTTCAACAGATCACAAGGACCATCTTGAGTAACTGTCCATTAATAGCGATGGCGGCACCACTCACACCCAAAAATACTCAGACCTGAAGGATGTGACCAATCCATGTAAAGAAGCATCAGCAGTCTTAAGAATTCAACAATAGCATGTAATAGAAGAATACGGTTGACTGCAAACCACATGCTAATCTCCACCATAGGAGACAAAGGAAAAAGTCACAAAACGTACCACAGAGCAGTGACCGATGGCTTCCTCAAAGCGGTGTATTTTGAGCATACACATAGCAAGGTTGAGATGACACGGATTTTTTACTGCAATGGCCATGTCGTGGTACTTGCCAAAGAGTTGAAACATGAAGTCATCACCCATGTAAGCGAGTGCCTACCAACCAACCACTCGCGGAATTAGAACTTGATTGGAGTGACAACACCCAACAATAACCTAAATGTCTTCCTCAAAATTCGCTTTTGCCCCAAAAATGTATGAGACTGCTAAATATATATTCAACTTTTCTATCCTCAAGTGCCCACAAGTACAATTGGAAATCATAAAACCCTGCCTCTTCCACCAGATGAGTTAGTCGGGATACTAGATAAAAATAGAAGCGCACCATTTCATATTGCTGCATGGCTTCGGCAATTTTCCCTTCCTTGAATAACTCGTTTCCATCCACTCTCCGGCGATCCGCTGCCTCGATGCGCTCCTCTACTACCATCTCACCTGGCACTCTTCCCTGATTTCAGAAACACAAATCTCATCAAGGCAATAATTAGAAATCTCAGATGCAGCTTACTGCTTGTTCACAAAACAAAGAATCAGATATCACAAGAACTGTTTAGCGTACATTTTGTGATAGTATAACCCCAGCTCTTACAAAAAATCATACCTCTCGAGGTTCTTGGTAACCTATGAGCTCCACCTCGTACAGGACATCTGCCATGGGGGGCACATTGGGAAAGGAAAAGCTGCCCTCCTTGCCGTATGCAAGATTGTAGCTGATATGAAGTAGAGCGCGTTCACCTATTTTCATGCTGCCCACTCCTATAGCAAGCCCTTTGAGCACTTTCTTCTCTGTCACAGAGCATCACAAGATGAGTTATCCTCAACTCAAATTTGCTTCCGACAGCATGCCATCTTGAAAAGATTGACAACAGAGTACATAAATTATGTTCAGTGCCTCATTCCTGCTGTAGGACAACATAGAGAACCCTATCGACGTGCAGGAAAACTACTTCCAAGTACAAAATTGCACACTTGAAAGAATGAAAAGTCGCAAACAAGCATTGAGTTTATTCTCGGTGAACCACTACAGTAAAACTTCACGGTATTACATAATAAAGTACCAATGTCTACAAAACCAGTCATACTCTGGCTTGGCACTCCATATTGACTCACTAAGCACAAGTATCAAACAAATGAGGTTATTATAGATGAGTACCATGACCAAGCCTAAGCTCTTGGGGTTGTTGCTCATTCCAAGTATCATCAAACTTGTGCATTGTGCTCGCTGTCCATGCTCGATAGTGCACTGTGGGGAAAATTACATATATAGGCCCCTGTCAGCACACAGTAAAGATCTACAAGACAAATTGGAATCACATCGAAATATCAGGCTTCAAAGTCGAGAGAAATCTCAAGATGAGAGCCACGAGCATACCAAAGCAGCTTGAATGCCTAGGAGGCGGCCCGTCACCCTGCCCTTCTTTGATGACTTGCTTACTGACGCCCTCTTTGATTAATACTTTCTCCGATTTCACCCTTGGTGGCAATGATTCATCTCTTTCTTCCAAAATGTCTCCCTCTTCAGTTGTCTCATGCTTAGCCGTCTCGGAAGCATCAACTTTACTAGCTGGTGCAATGGGTCTCTCGTGATCTTGTTGGTTTTGGACCTTGGTTTCTGTGTCGGAATCTGAACTTGCTGCTTTTTCTCTCTCCTCAAGCAAGGCCGCTGATTCTGATTCTACCGACGGTTGAACATCATACTCGTGCCCCATATTTGCCTCACTGATACTACTTCCCTGCGCCCTACAACATCATCAGGTGGGGACCCTGCATATATGAAATCCAATCAAACAACCCTCAGCCTTGAAGCACCTCGAGAGTTTGAGTGCAGCTCTCAACATTTAGAGCTGTAAACAACATATGAATTCAATTCAGACCTTGACAGAATCAATTTGAAATGTGATCCGATGATGGGCAATAACAGAGTCCTCACGATGCGCAAAAACCCTACGATTGCAAGGCCAACGCAATTTCAAAATGGAAGGAACAACTGCAAGCGTAACATATGTAATGACTTGTAATCGTGAGGCTCACGCCCTAGAAACTCATATTCAGACATTCATTCTTCCTGTGACTAAAGCAGGGGAGCAACTGGCGCCCTCACGAGTCCGCAACTATGATTGATCACTTACTCGCGCAACCCAGAAAAAAACTTCACAGCTTCTGAACTCTCAACTCACGCATCAACACCGCGTAACCCTCAACAGATTCAGCCACATTACAGGATTACGAGCTTTACAAGTGCCAGACTAAATTCCACAACTTCTCCACCAGTCTCCGCCAATCGAAATTGACGCCTTGAATATCAGATTGCGGACCCTCTTGATCAACATGCGTCAGACATAATTAAAAAATTCCTGAACAGCTCGATTTTCATCAATCGGAACACATAACATGTTGCACGCAACAACAGTGAAGAGCTTCATTGATTTCAACGTAGGCAGGTTGGAGTCAGCCTAGGTTAGCGGCATTATAAATCTGTGCCCCAGACGCAGACTCTGGATGTTTCGGATACAGTACCCGGGTTGACATCCGGAGGAGGGCGAGGTATGAGACCGAGCACGGTGTCCAAAATCTTCGAAGGAAACAGAGTGGCAAAAGTGACTCACCTGGAGAACTCTCAGACAAGTTTGTTTGGTTCACTGGGCTTGTAGTAGGAGAAGCTCTGCCACACCCCACCACCCAAACCAACAATCATGCCCAGAACATCTGATGACCATGAATTCTTGACGTTGCATTCGCCATCTCTCGCAGGCTCAAGCATCCACACCATAGCCAGCCTACCTCTCGATCCTCTCGTTGTGCCTGCTGGCGTGTTTGCATTTCGCGGCATGGTTATTGGAGCATCTGGATTTGTGTTTCGGCCTCTGTAGGTGGAGATTGTGAGTTTTGGGGTAACTGTGCCGAGCAAGGGGTGTAGGGAAACTCTCCCGGAACTATGTAGGGTAGTAGCTTCCATAAGCAACTGTGTGTATAGAAACGACTGACTAGGACGGGGGGTTGTTGGGGCACAACATAAGGTTACGAGCTTTCGTGGGCAGAAGCAGAGGTGGGATGCATCAAATGTTTCACAGAATTCTTCGTAGTGCGTAGGCGGCTTGAATTTAGGACGGGAGTTCTCTTGTTTTCTTGGCATGTTTCAGAGATTCGTTTCGGCTTCTCTGTAGAGCTTGGGGAGTTCGCCCTATTCTGAACAGTTGCCGTTTTTGGTGCAGGGGAGATTAGAGGGTTGTGGGTTGGGGTTAGAGGTGAAGTCTGGGTTCATCGGGGTTTTCGGACTTGGTCACGAGAATTGGAAGTTTTTAGGCTGAAGGTAATAAGTTGAGCGGAGTGGTGAGGCCGTCGGCTTTGATGAGAAGGTAAATTTTTGTGGGTTTCGGTGGTTGTAATCGGAAGTCTGCTTTGAATTTACTGGTTTTTCGGTGAGTGTGAGGTGTGAAGGTGGGTTAAGGTCTGGAAATCTGGGCTGAAGCTGAGAGAAATTTAAATCTTGGAGAGATTTGGGGTATGTTCTTTGGTGTACTGAAAAGGGAGTGCTTTTGGGGATCCGAAGATTTGTAGGGTATTGGAGAGGGGATGACAAGAATGGAGAATGTGGAAGATGAAGGACGCGGAGTTGAGGTCTGGGGTATTAATGAGAAAATGCATGTGTGGAACGGAAGACTAGAGTGAAGTTTCAGCAGGAAATTTGAGAAGAATAGAGGTAGTATAACGTGTGTACGAAGGAAGCGGAACAATGGCTTCGGATGGGATGAGTTCGACAGGGCTGTATGGAGGAAGAAAATCCTCGCAATTCAATAATTCCACTCCTGTGCGTCTTCGAGTGTCAGCATCTATTATGAACTGCGACGACCAAGATGGCGATGTGGATTATGCTGGCTCGTAAGTTTTTTCAGTGACCATCAAATAAATTTTAAACATTTTAAACCTTCATTGCGTGACCTCAAGAATCTTTTGTGAAGGAGACGAGGATGGGGTTGTGGGTGGTATGCATGTTTTTCAAATCTAGTTGATTATTTCAAAGCATCTGTTCAGTTTGCAAGCAGAGCAGCTTAATGAGGTGTCCTTCTTGCGGACACAAAAAGTATTTTCATACAGAGCTATTGTGTAGGTTTCTGATATATGTATATATTTCCATTTGCTATGATTTGTTGAGTCAGAATTTGTCCAGAATGCAATGTGAAAGGCGCAGAGTATTTTAAGTACGGATGGACAAAGTCACCACACTCTACACTCATCAACTCTTATCGGTCATTAATGTTACCTTGATTGGCTTATGGGAGCAGGAGGCCGCAAAGTCGCGGGAGCTCGCATGCTGGAGATATCAATCAGAATCAGAGTGAGGGCAGTGAGAATGGGAATACTGTCCATGGAGTGTGAGTTTTTTCTATACCTGAACTCATCTCTTTTCTACCAGCTCTTTAACTTGGTGCTCCGCTTAATGTTTTCTGTGTTCATGGGGCAGAACTTTGATTTTGCTAGACTGGAGAGGGTTACATTTTCGCACGTAAACTTCTCTCTGATTATATTCGGCTTTTGAGCTGGTGACGAAATGGTGCTTCATGACTGTGCAGGTTGGCAACAACCTTCTTTCCGTCTGATCCGTTGGCTTCTGGCCCGGTTTTGGAGAAATACCAGGTGCGTTTAATATTGTATAGCCCTGTCGTGCATCCAGTTGTATTGTGTCCATGAATGGCATCTTGTTATCGTTGAATGTTATTCCGGACGCTGTGCTTGTCATCTTTTGATTACATGAGTATGAATTGGTTTCATATTGTATACCCGCTGCTGAACTTGGGGGTTTTCTCCTTCCTATTGGGGCATGGGAAACCTCAAGTTTTCTCGTTTGAGATGAATTTGTTGAACCTAGTGCAGGTTGAAGCATTTTTGAAGTCAATGCAAAGAATCATTCAGATTGGAGGAAGAAGATCTTATTTTGGCAAGAAATTCTCAATTTCTGGTCGAGACAGGTTCACGCTTGAAGACATGCTATCATATCAGAGAGTAAGCAACTCTGTCAGATATATGTGGGGGGTTGTCTCAACAACAATGGCTTCTCTCTTCCATGTACTCCTATCTCATTTCTTGATACTAAAACAATTCAAAATGCTCTGATGAAGGTCCACTCTAGGATATTAATGTAATTTCTAATCAGCTTAAGTTATGGTAGAGGTCAGAATCATAGTAGAGGCAGAAAGGTTTTTTTCGAGCATAATGTAAAAGTGGATCAAACATGCACTTTAATGTTGTCTAGTAGGTCTGTTTGATAATGATTATGGTGTTGTTACAGGACCCAATACCTACTTCGTTGCTGCGACTGAATAGTGATTCAATGACCCGGGCTGTTAAGCTCTTTCAGGTACATTGGCTTTTCTTTTCCATTTTGGTGCCTTGATTTAAGAATCTAATTTCCCTAGTATGTTCTAATTGCAACTTACAGAGAAGCTAGACAGAGTTTTCTCTAAAACGAATGGTCATTTCTGATTATTTAGAAATCCAATTGCGTCTAATATTTGCGCTGTGCTTATTGACAGGTTATCCTAAAGTATACAGGAGCAGATCTAGCTCCTGGATCCCCTCCTCCCACCGTACAGGAACAAATTGATATGGTGTTGAAGTTGTATAATTCTACCTTGAAACGGGCTGAGCTTCGGGATGAACTGTTTGTACAACTTTCGAAACAAATCCGCAACAATCCAGATAGGTGGGACAAATAATGTCTTTACTTTAGTGAGTTAGAGAACGGTTGCTTGCTGGTATTTCTACATGGTTGTCGGTGGAAACTTTATAATGTGAGGGCTTGTGCTGAATTTACTCCGCGTGTACCATATGGACAGGTCGATGTTATTGAAGGCGTGGGAGTTATTATTTCTCTGTGCTTCTGCAATGCCTCCTACCAAAGACTTCGCTGCTCCTCTCTCGGAATATGTTCATGACGTAGCCAATACTCCCGGTGACACTGAAATCCAAAGGATTGCTTTGAATACATTGAATGCTCTCAAGCGCTCTGTTAAAGGAGGACCTCGAAGGATAACTCCGACTGCAGAGGAGATTGAAGCTCTTTTGGAGAGTAGAAACTTGACCACTTTAGTATATTTCTTGGACGACACATTCGAAGAAATCACTTACGACATGACGTCAACCATTGCTGATGCTGTCGAGGTAATACTATGTTAAATTTGTTTGTGTCTTTTAATGATTGTATCTAGAGCAGTTTACGTTTAAGAATGAGCTGTGCAAAACAGTAATCTCAGAAGAGTTAACTTTTAGGCATATGCGTTGGTTTCAAATTGTTGTTGGTATTATCATTTATAGCATTTTAAAATTCTGAAAGGGAATCTTATACGTTGAACTTGGTCTTTTTACGCATTTGGTGTTATAAAAACTGTTTAAAAATATCTTTTTTGTGGTTTGGAAGAAAAAGAACAACAACAATAATATTGATAAAGTGTTATTGATTTAATGGTGAATCGGATTGCAATATGTACTAATACTCCTTATTTATTTGGTATACATAACTACTCGAAATATGTCTTTTTGTTAGAAACAGATGCAGTTGAAGTTGACTTGGTGACGAATGTTGTAACATATTAGATAGTGATTGGTTTTGAATGCAGCAATTAGCAGGTATTATCAAGCTGGCATCTTCGAGCACTTTTGGTCTCTTCGAGTGTCGAAAGTCTGTAACTGGCTCGAAAATCAGTGATTCTGGAAATGGTATGTTTCTGGAGATGGAAACCGAAGTATATTTAACTTGAGACGTTTATGTACTTGGGTGTAGGATGTACTGGAACAATTATGTGTAGGTTCAATTATGTTACATGGTGAAGGAGTATTTTTACTTAGCGTGTTACTGGTGTGCAGTTCTTTCAAATTTTTGTCTCTTTTTGTTTTGTTGAGTTAGTCTCTGCATATGTATGTTCTGATTGTTACTGTATCCACACTTGTGGTTTGCAGAGGAACACATTGGGCTTGATGACAACAAATATATCGGTGATATCGTTGCGGAGTTTAAGACTATAAAAGAAAAAGCCAAGGGAGAGCTACAATGTAGATTATTATTCAAAAAACGCCTTTTTCGGGAATCAGATGAAGCTATCGTAGACCCTATGTTTGTTCAACTGTTATATGTACAGGTGCAATTTCTACCACACTTTCTCCTTAATGTAATCTCATGTCTAAAACTACTGTTAATTTTTTCAGTTGTGCAATAAGTTATTTCCGTGATTATAAAATACCTCTTCGATTTAGGTTTGATGTTTGATAGAAGTAATGCTGTGGTTAGGAGTACATAGACAAGAAGTCTTTAACTTTCTTTCTTCTTCCTGCTAGCTTGGATGAATAAAGTGGCTTTTTTTTTTTTGACCTCTCGTGTGCTGTTCCTTTCTTTCTTTAGGTTGTATAGGTTTCTGTAAGGACGTTTAGATTCTTAAGAAAGTCGTACAAATCCGGCTGAGTCCTGTTCAAGTTGTGCCCATGCTTAGAGTACACTTACTGGCTGGGCTGGCCTAGGAAGCGATCTTAGTTACGCAATTACTGCTATTGTGAATCCATTGTTCTTTCCAATTGTATCTATATCTCCTTTTGAGCAAACTGTTGCAACGTGTGTTGAACAGGAACAAGTAATTGTTCCTCGTAGTTAACTATCCTTTGTGTATGCAGTCACAACATGACTACATGCTTGGAAATTATCCAGTTGGTAGAGATGATGCAGCACAATTGGCAGCCCTGCAGATATTGGTCGACATTGGTCCAGTTCCGAATCCAGAATCTACCACGTATGTTGGAAATTAGTCTTTGTCATTTTAGAACAATCGTTTGGTTCTAGTAATGCGATCAAGTTATATTCGTATAAGGACAGTTATTATTGCTAGTAATGTTGCCTTGAGTGCAAGCATGAAGGTGTAACGCTCCAGAACTTGCATCTTGAATCTGTGCAATTTCTTGGTAATACAAGACTAACCGTAGTATTTACACGATTATTATTGTAGATTATAGATTTGGTCCTTGCTTCTACCTAAAAGAGTTATTGGTCTTACATGTTATCTGGAACGTGATAGTAATGACATAGACTATTCTCTTTGATTAATTATCGTATCTTTCGACAGGGATTGGCAAGCACTGCTGGATCGTTCTTTACCGAAGCAGATAGCTGTTACTCGTGCCAGACGGGACTGGGAACTTGACATCCTGAATCGATATCAAGCTACTGTAAGATTCAACTGTATCGGATGGTCATTATCAGCAGAGTTTTATGAATGCTTTCTTTCTAGGTACTCCTATGTGTCTGTCTCCTTTTTACGTAAGGATGAAGGAACGGGAATAAACTGATTGCTACATAGTGCAGAGAACAACTGTTTAGGCTTTCAGTTTAAACCAGTTCTCCGTTGGTGTAATAGCATGGCAGAAATCACTTTTGGTCATGCGCAGACACATCTATCAAAGGCTGAGGCTCGGCAGCAATTGCTTCGCATTCTCCGGTCACTCCCTTATGGAAATTCGGTGTTCTTTACTGTTACAAAAATTGAGGACCCTATTGGATTGCTGCCAGGGCGGATTATTCTTGGCATCAACAAGCGTGGGGTATGTGGGAGCGCCTTCATCTTTGTATGCTTTATCACTTCCATAAACATTTTTATGACCAGCTGCGTTGTGACGCTTTTCCCTCATATGTTATTTCATGACTTTGATTATCGTGGGGTATAGGGTTTTTGACGTTGTTGCCTGCATTTATTTTGTCACGTTTCTGTATTGCAGGTGCATTTTTTCCGACCTGTGCCTAAAGAGTATTTGCATTCAGCTGAACTGCGCGACATTATGCAATTTGGTAGCAGCAACACAGCCGTCTTTTTCAAAATGCGTGTAGCGGGTGTACTGCATATTTTTCAGTTTGAGACTAAGCAGGTTATTTTCGTACCTAGATCTTGCTTTGTACTTGCAAATCCCTATATTATTTTGGAGATTTATTTTTGGTTTGTCTTGTGAGCAGGGGGAAGACATTTGCGTAGCACTTCAGACACACATTAATGATGTTATGTTGCGGCGATACTCCAGAAACAAAAATATTCCTAATGGGCAGGTATCAAATGAAGTGGATACGACTGCTACACTAAGTACTAAACCTGCAGGTCTTGAAGTTTACGAAAAGCATGTACAAGAGATGTCAAAGCTGTTGGAGGAGTCCCAGAGGAAAATAGATCAGGCAAGTCCTAAGCGAGACATGATACGATAGTTTCTTTGCTTGTAGTGAGCTGGACAGATCAGGTGATTCATGGTTGTGATGCTGTTGTAGCTGGGAACAGAAATGAAGGTCAAGGACTTAGAACTGATGTTTCTATGTCACATTTTGACAGCTTTCAGAAGCGATTAGAATTAAAGACAAAAGAGAGACTCTAGTGATGGAAGAGCTGGCAGGATTGCGCGATTCTCTTCGTGCGGAGGAACAAACTCATTCTGAGATTGCAGAAGAGCGAGAGCGATTGACCAAGCAACTGGTGGACATGGAGGGTGCCTTGCAGGTTCTTACCGTGCCTTGAGACATCATCATTTTTGTAGGAGTTTAGCCTTTTGTTTGTTTTCTTTTACAAAATTAAGATGAACAAAAGGAAAAGAAAAAGGGAGTTGAATGCTTCCTTGTTAAAGATCGGCGAATTTGGTTGCTTAGCGTGGACGATTAGTCTGAATAGGGCATACCTCGGATCCTTCATTGCTCATTTTGATCAGTTACAGAATCTAAAATGATAAGTTCTTAATGTTTGCAGGTAGCGCTTACTGAGAAAGCCTCATTGATAGCATCAGTAGGCGGTAGTCAACCTGGCGATGATGCTACAAGTGACATGAGTGATTACGAGACTTCTATACGAAAGGCCCCTACTGTTCGCGCTAGAAGAGACAGAGATTTCCTTTCTTCTGTTGGAAAAGAAAGAAAAGATGATCAGATCCGCACTCTCGAAAATCAGGTGGAGGTCTTGCTTAATTTTCTGTCATTCACTATAGAATACATACCAAACTGTAAATTTGTAGAAATTTTATGAGCAACTTATCTATGTATCTCTCTGTGTATCCGTGTTCATCTGTAAGTTATTTTGATTCTAACCCGCACTTTAGTATGCTTGTTTGCCTTGTCATCAATTTATGGAACTGCCACTTTGACACCTCTAGTTCAGTGTCATTTCAATCTAGCTTGATTTTTTCAACCGAATCTTAAATGTGTAAACTCGTGCAGATTAAAGAAATTCGTGCGGAGGTAAGGCTTAAGACCGAAGACTTGAGGAAACATGAGGACAAGGCAAAGAATTTGCTGAAAGACAAACAGCTTCTTGAGCAGAAGATCGGGCGCTTAGAAAAGAACAAAGTTGATGAGGTTTGTTGGTCGCATTGTCCTTAGAAATATTTTGAAAATGATGGTTTCATTCCACATCTTTATAATACTCAGGTTCAGCACTGTGTGTCATAAACTGCCATAAAGAAGTGAGTACTTATTATTGGACTAGGTGCAGTATTTTAAATTCGATCCTTTCCTCTGCCGTTTTACAGCTTAGACTGTGCTGCTATGAATCTAAAGTAATGTTGTCGCAATAGTGTGGCATACTGTATGTCGGGCCATACTTTTGTTGACTGGCATTGTTATTACTCATGTGACCTGTAGACAAGAGGACTGGAGCACAAGTTCGAACAGGAGAGAGATGAGCTTAGGGCAAGAGTAGCAGAAAATGAGAAGAAATTGCAAGATCGAACGCAGGAGCTTAGTCTTGCAGAGCAACAACTCTCTAGCCGTAGTGGTGAATTTGACACATTACAAGCAAATGTTAAGGAGCTTGAGGAGCTTCGGGAAATGAAGGAGGTGAAATGATCGGCATAGTATTTTATTAGACTGCTCGATTTTGACCTGTGTTGTTTTGCGTTTGTGGATGTCATTATGTCCAACATTATTCTTCAGCATTCATCTGATTGTGAATGGCTGTATGGCTGTTTCTACAAGTGATATTCACAAGGATATTGATTATTATGTGAATGTCTTATTCAGGACATTGACAGAAAGAATCTGCAAACAGCAGCCATTCTGAAGAGGCAAGCAGATCAGATAGTAGAGTTACAGGCTTTATATAAAGAGGAGCAAATATTGAGAAAACGATATTTCAATATGATGGAGGGTATGTCCTTTGCATGCTCTTCCCCTCGTGCTTGGGTTCTTTATCAATTGCCTAGTTTTGTTTCACTCTCTTGCGTCTTTTTTTATTTATCAATAGATTTATGACCTATCTTTACTCACAGACATGAAAGGTAAGATACGAGTCTATGCACGTTGGAGGCCGTTGAGCGACAAAGAGATCAGAGAAGGTGAAAAATTGATGTTGACTTCTTGTGATGAGTTCACAATTGAGCATCCGTGGAAAGATGATAAGATCAAGCAGCACCAATTTGATCATATCTTTGATCAATTTGCTACTCAGGAGGAAGTTTTTGAGGACACCAAGGTGCCGCTTCAAGTCCTGTAACTCTTGAATGTGAACCATAGATATGATTTCAATGATTTTGTGGATTTAATTGTTTGAGTTGTTGAGATTAATGCCGCACCATGATTTAACTTTTATTGATGGTGTTCCAGCGAACTAGCATTGAACATTGCTGGCCATGAGAGATGACGTTCATATGAACGGCACAGAACAGAAATTCCTTTAATCATGCACCTTATCAGGTCATGCTTTTGATCTGTTGTTGTTTCCTCACTTCTGAATTGGTCGTTTGCTTTGACTTGTGCAGTACTTGGTTCAGTCAGCCATCGATGGATACAATGTGTGTATTTTTGCATTCGGGCAAACAGGTTCCGGCAAAACCTACACAATATATGGCTCCAATAGCAATCCTGGGCTTACCCCTCGAGTTACTCAGGAACTATTCAACTGTATGAAGCGTGATTCCAACAAATTCCAGTTTTCTTTGCAGGTAATGCAGCAAAATTCTTGTAGTCATGAAGTCGGAGGAACTGCTCCAGGACGGTTTATTTCTTATATCAGTACTGATAGAACAGACTGCTATGATCGATCCTGGATGTTACTCTTTGTTCTTCTCGGTCGATTCTTGAGACACTGAATTGCTGAATTGGTTTGTGAACGACAGGTCTACATGCTAGAAATATACCAGGACACTTTGGTTGACCTACTTCAGCCCAAATTTGGATTTGGTGGTAAACCAAGGAAGCTCGACATCAAGAAGGATACTAAGGTAAGTCGCTTTGGAACACATCTGGTTTGATAATGCCATTGGACATAGAACGTAATGTATGGCTTGATTATTTTACGTTCATAGATTGATTGGAGTTGACATCGGCAGGGCATGGTGGTGGTTGAGAATGCGACACTCATCCCAGTGGTAACACGGGAAGAACTAGATTCCGTCATTGCAAAGGGCTTGGAAAAGCGGCATACATCCGGCACTCAAATGAATGCTGAGAGTTCACGGTCGCATCTCATACTATCAATAATAATTGAGAGTACCAATCTGCAAAGCCAAGTGCTAATGAAGGGCAAGGTGAACTGTTGTTTCTGATTGCTTACGTTTACTTTGGCCTTATTTAACGAAGCCATTTCCCTGTTTTTATATTGGCAAGGTGGTCAGTTCTTCGAAAAATGTTTTTTTACTTCCTTATAATCTCTAAATGTTTATATTTTTTACTCTATGTTTCCGTATCCTTTGCAGTTGAGCCTTGTTGATCTGGCTGGCTCAGAGAGAGTAAAGAAATCCGGTTCTAGTGGGGAACAGCTGAAGGAAGCTCAAAGTATCAATAAGTCCCTTTCGGCTCTTGGAGATGTTATCAGTGCCCTGGCAACAGATGAGCAGCACATCCCTTATCGGAACCACAAATTGACTATGCTTATGAGCGATTCTCTTGGCGGGAACGCCAAAGCTCTTATGTTTGCCAACATTTCTCCAGCTGGTTCCAACCTCGAGGAGACTCATAACTCTCTTTGGTAATCCCTCAAGTCTTATTCTTAGGCGTAGCTCGAATTGTTTTTCTAGCAGTTCCTTTCCGAGAAATGCTTGTATACTTCGAATCCTCCGTACACTAAATAATTTAGGCACGATTTGAATTCCACTAACTCGCGTGCTCATTACACTGCATCAGTTATTATCATTTGACAGAAGGCTTTTCTATGTATGTTGAGCTATTTGGTTACATTCTAATGTCTGTTTTCTGTTGCACAGTTACGCTACTCGTGTGAGGTCCATTATCAATGATCCCAGCAAGAATTTGACGACCAAGGAGATCTTGCGTCTCAAGAAACAGGTACAATTTTGGAAAGAAAGAGCTGGTAACCCTGGGGGTGAGGAGTTGGAAGAGGTTGTGGAAGAACGCTTGAAATATGCTGAGTGAGGTGTACAAATATTCGTTTAATTTTACTGTGTCCACATATATCGAATGAACCTGATCTGTGGCTGTGTGAATATTGCCCCAATTAGAGGGGCATTTGATGACTTGATTAAGCTCAGGATTTTCCTTCCGCTAGCCTCATTACGAGCAAGAATTTCAACGATTCATTGATTAGTGAAGTTGTCTAGCAGGTAAAGAACATTATATCGGCCCGTCCTGCCCCATTTCATAGAGAGCAGTCTGAAATCAGACTACATTGTACTAAAGCTTTAGCAACACGTTTCACTTTCTCATTATGTCTCATTCATCACCGCTTGTGTTTGATATATTTTTGGTATTTCCCATATCATTGAATTGCTTCGCTGTATCATAGAATTGGAAATGTGCCTAATTTGCATACCTGGATGAGGAAATATGTGATGACTGTTGCCTGGGGAGTATTCGCATCTGGGAGTTGGGTACCCATTACTTACATGTGAAGGCTTTCTCTGCTCTTTCTACATCTTTAGTTCCCCAGCTTGTTTGGATGCTTCAAGTTTCAGACCACAATGCTTCCACTGCTATAAACACCCTTATGACAGATAAACAGGATTCAACATTGTCAGCACCCTACACCTCTTCCTCATGTTGGCTTTATAATATTTTTTTACTAGGGAATTAGCATTATCCAGCAAGTCCCCAACTTATCCTTTGGAATCACAGGTAGATTCCATTATGGATGCAATCCTGGCATATAATCAGCACCGACTATATTAAACGTTTTCTAGGGACTAGACAACTTTGATACGTGAACAGGCTCTGTTGGGTTTTGGGATATGGTCGGCTAGAGGAATAAGAAATTGTCAAGCTGAGAAATCATTTGGATCATGGGTCACTCCACATTTTGAGACAAAAAAAACAAAAAAACAAAAAAAAAAAAAAAGATAGAAAAATTGTAGTCTCTCATTGATACGTAGTTTGTTTGCCAATCATATAATTTAATCTTATGCATTTTGAATATGGATATGCAAATCCATGGATGCATGTCCCAAAGCATGCTTTGAAAATAACATAAAACTATAAGAGAAAAAGTTGAATTTTTTTAGAAGTATAAATATTTGAAAGGACAAAAAAATAAAAAAATAAATGAAAATTGAAAAGAATAGAGTCTGAAGTCATATAATCTCTCCCAATGCAATTGTGGCCCTTTGTACAAACAGGTATTCAAAAGGCAAGCATCTTAATGCATGTGGGTACATTGGGTCCATTGAATTAGTCACTTGTTTTGGAGTCTTAATATTTGGAGAAGATTGGTATGGAGTAATAAACCAAAACATGATCATGCCACCATTCATACATTGATAGGATGGAATAAAAGACTTTCTACAACATTTTAGAAAATACCTTTGAGGATTTATGTTGGAAAACTTTGAAAACTTTGAGTGGGATATGTGGATATGCTTGTAACTTTTGTGCCATTTAAATATGTTAAGGTCATACTTAAGTAGTATTTCTCTATAGGTTACTAAAAAATGAAAAAAAATTACATTTTAAATAAAAATTTCAAATTTTTACTTAAATAAGAAAATTGATCATTTTATTTAAATATTTTACTTAAATAATCAAATTTTATAAATTTAAAAACATGTATTATATTCTTGAAACAATCACAGTTTGTATAAATTATTTTGGTTATGTAAGAGTGTTTTCAAATAAACCCCTAAACCTGCTTCTTCTTTTTCTTAACTAATAATCTTGACCTCCATGAATAATGTTAAAACTCCATTATGTCATGCTCACCCAGTTTGGTTTTTGCTATGACGGTTTGTGTAGTTTTATTTAGAGAATATCTTTGTTGGTATTTAACTTTCAAAAAAATAAAATTTTATTCAATGATTATCATTTCAACACATTTGAATTTTATTTTAAATGAAAAAAAAATATATATATATATATATATATATATATAACAAAAGTAAAGAACGAAAAATCATTTTGGTGGAACAATCATGAAGTACCTGGCCATTTATTACGGGAACTTACGTCATTCATAATTATTTAATTACTTATCTAATTACTTATCTAAATACTTATTTATGCATGTATTTGATATGAACCCTAAAGTAAATCCTTTTTGAAACAGACACTGTCTTGTTCTCATTCGTCGACATTCATCCATCGACAGAAATTTGGAACCACCACCTTTAGTCCAGCTTGTGCAGGGGAGGCTGCGACACGCTGGCAGATGAAGGTCCAGCTCCCCAGATTTGGAACCAGGATGCCTGACGTGGCATCCAGGTCAGATTCCTGTTGGAACCAGGGTTTCTGTCCAAGTGTGAACCCAAAAGATCCGAACCTGGGCAGGGAGGACGACTATTCTGGAAATAGAATCTGCGGGGCGGGGGAAGTATTCAAAGCTGCCAGCCAGCCTGCTTAAGGGTGTGACACGGAGAGAGGGGCCACCGATTCTGTCTGGAATGGTAGTTCCAAGGGACCAGATGAGTTGGCCCTTGTCCGTCTGTTTAGTCTGAAACGAAGGAGCAATGCAAACCATGTTTGGTTAAAACAGGAATTATGGGGGTTCACTCTCTACCATGAATAAGTAAAACATTGAATAGCTGTTGTATATGAAATATGTGTGTGTGTGTATATATATATATATATATATATATATTTACTTATTTATATTTCATGAAATTTTTAAAGAAAGGTGCATGTTAATCAAGGACAAAACAATGATGATGATGAAGAATAATTTATTTGTTGAATTTTTTTTGAATAAGTCATTGATGCTTTAGATTTTTTTTCAATATCACTATCACTTTTTTGGAATGCACAAACACATTCAAAGTTGAATTGGTTTTCAGTGACTTTTTGCTTGTTGATTGAAGAATGACAATTTTTAACACAAAATAAGTTTAGACTTTTTGACGCCTAATTCTCATCACAAAGAATAAAACTGTAAATCCATCTATGTGTTTAAATGAGATCAAGAGTACCAAAAAATCCTGTTAAATTTAAGTACATTTATAGTTTTTGTTTTAATTTAAATAAATATAAATAACAATCACACTTTGATGCTGATGTTAGCATGATATCATGAGAATAGATGTGATTTAATTCCATCAATGCTTTAAATATTATTTTAAACTAATTTTCTGACATGTTCCATACAAATGTTGGTTCAAGTCAGATACTATCTTTATTTTACAAATTTTGGTTCCATTTTCCGTTTTAAATTAGTATGTCAAAAAATGCCAAAGAATTCAATAAAAAATGGTGTCTTTGAAGTATTGGGCTTCGATCAAATGGATAAGATTTCAAAAGTTGAATATATGATTTTACGCAAAAAATATTATACAAACTATGAATGCAACACAATCTTGTGGCTCTGAATATTTAATCTGAAGTGATGCACTTTAAATAATGAAATATTTTCATCTGAATATTATCTAGCACCAACTTTGTTTGTTACATGAAATAAAACATTGATTTGTATTTCTGCAATTGTTACTGGGAATGGTTAGGTGGAGACCCTTGCATACATATCTCCTCTAAAAATATATAGTTTTGAATTAAAATAAGATTTTTAAATATTTTATTTGACATTGATAAACATGAAAAATAATAAAACACATTTTCGTATGTTTTTATCATTCAAAAAATAAATTTGATAAAAGCTTACAAAGACAAAAGAACTGAAGACTAAGATATTATGGAATATCAAATACATATTATATTATACATAAATTCAAAATATATAATATAATATAATATAATTTTGATTAAATTTGATGTAAAATTATAAATACATTTTGATAATAAATATAATAAAAACCATGATTTAAAATAAAAATTGGTTACTTTTTGCAAGAGTGTGCGTGCAAGGGTATGTTGCAAAAGGGGTGTCCACAAAGTAAAAGAGGAGTATCTTGGTATTAGTTCCCTTGTTGTTTTTGTACTTTATATATATATATATATATATATGTATCCATATCTATACATGTATATGGGAAATGATATGTTGATTGAGGATTTTACAAAATTGACCCGGTTCTGGTCATAGTATCTTATTGTGTACCACATGATTTTAACACATAATTTTTTATTTATTTTTAAATTGATATGTGTACACATGATTTTAACACATAATTTTTTATTTATTTTTAAATTGATATGTGTACACATAATTTTAACACAAAAATAAAATATTGTGTACACATATCAATTTATAAATGTGGTACATTAACTTAGTTTTAACACTCCAACCAGTTTCAACACATATCATTGATAAATATGAGCATATTTTTTGTACTTCCATAAGAATAAATTTTTGACGTACACAATAAAATATTGTGACCAAAAACACTGTCAATTTAGTAAAAACCCAATCAACTTATCAATTTCCTATATATATATATATATATATATATATATGTAAATACATACATACATATATACAGACATTCTACCCCTACCAAAATCACCATAAATTAATTTGGACCAGAAAAAAATCATTTCAAATTTTAATTCATGTAAATGCTCCATCAATTGAGTAATCTTAAGGGCGCAGTTCATAACTATATATGAAATAAAACCTTCAAGCAAGTATTTAGAAGGTTTTATTTCAAAATAATTTATTTCATATATAGTTATGAAAGAAAAAAAAAGAAAAAAGAGGAAAAACCCCAACAATATGACATGTGAAAAAATCATCTACATAACTCATATTTTCTAAAACATGAGACCTAAAAGTTGCAACATTAAAATTATTTCCAATAAAAGGCATGAAAACCAAGTTGAAAACAGCTAATCTATTTACTACAAAGGGCTGACATACTTTAAACACTACCACGTGGGGCCCTAAGCTCAACCCACAATTACCACATATATCATACCGTGTACTTTCTTTAAAAAGTAAAAGTAGGAGCACAGTTGAGTCTCAAGTATACTACCGTGTGGTTTTTTGTTCCTTATGAAGGGGACACTATGCAGCGTAATGAACGATGACCCTAATAGCGTGGTCCAAAGTAATCTGAGCGTCCCCATAATTGGAAATAGTCTTGAATCGGAATGAAGAGCCGTGTTATTCAGTTACCGTGGCTGAGAGGGAATGGGACAATTCGTCGTGGTTAGGGGGGCATGGTTGTGTTCCATGGCCTCTTGCTCGAGCCTCGACCGTTGTGTGGCACACCCTCGAAGTCGACTCTGATTTGCATGGCCTTTCCGTCCTCGCTTGCCATTCTCGATGTGATCGTATTCTTAGTCTTGTTGCCCTCACTCTGGCGAGCTTTCCCTTGCTGTGAACGGAGGCCCGTTGCTCCAGATATCGAGTTTTTCCAGGCTTTCGTTTCGATTGCTGGTCAGGTGCCTAGATGTGCTGTTCCTGATCAATTCTGAGGGGATCTAGAGATTCTTTCGTGTGAGAAAACGTTCAGTAGGAGCGAGACTTGGGTGGAGAGTTAGTTTTAAATTTGAGATGAATTTCAAGATTTCTTTGGGAGAGTGGATTCAGTTGTAGAGACAAAGAGGCGATTGCACGCGGTGGGAATTCAGAGGAGGAAAGTGATTGAAGAGAGTGTGAGACTGAGCTGTGCTATTGTTTTTGAAGTTTTTCTTTCAAGAATTTTAATAGTGGTGGCTCTGGATTTCAACTATTTGATTTTTGTTTGCATGTTTGCTTTTTGGATCGTTTCTTTTTTCCGACGGATTACTAACTCGTTGTTCAGAGTTGTCGTTTTGGTCGTCAGTTAGTGGAGTAGTTTTGGAGCTTGTGGAGGTACGGTACGAGGTAGTAAGGGAACGTGTTGTTGAATGCCTGCCGTGTTCATGCTATGAACATTCTTGTTGCGTGTGCTCAGTGGACTTTAATTCAGTCATCTGCTTATATTCAGGGATTGAATGGAGGAAAGATTGCACCTCTTGGCATTATATGGATCATTTCTTTACCTCTGCATGCAATATATCTCCACGCCCGGTCCCACTCGTATAAGTTGCTTGCAAATGTTAGCCTTCACGGCGCTGATAACTATATTGATAGTTGTAGAACGACTCTGATATAGATGTTCACTGATTCATTGATCATGTCAGCTGATTTGCAACCGGTTGATGTACATTCAGGTACAGGTTGGATAAGCTTTCAATCGCTTGAACCAGGTCTTCTGCATCATAGAACACGCTTTTAGTTCAACTATGTAAATGACAAACTATGCTCAGTTTTCGCTCTGCCGCAAGGGTGTAAGTATGAAGTAGCTTGGAAGGAGTTGTGAACTTTAGAGCTTCAAAATGGCTACTCCTGCAGTGTGTGGATTGTGCTCCGATTGATAGAAAGAGGCAATATCCTTTTTTCTTGGTTTGTTGAATTTGTGGAGGTTGATCTTGAACCTAGGCCCCATAGAGGAGTCTTCTCATGGTACCACACAGCCGAGAATGAATACCAAACTTTGACTTCATTGAATACACGTGGAATAGGTCTGTATTGAGGTTTTCTCGAACAACCAATTTTCATTGTTTATGTTAAGGTGCAGGAGATGGAGTAAGGTAATCTAATGCTGAAATTCCTGATCTGAATTTGCTGAAGACATTCAGTTTTCTCAGCACACGGTGTACACATCAGATGTGAATAGAGGAGTCACTGATGGGATATTATTCCAAGCACGATGTATGAAATCATGTCAGAAGATATTTTGTTGCGGTATCACTGATCAAATATGATCCAGCTTGGAATTCTTTTCCCAGAGGAGATTTTTTCATGCGAGACTTCATGCTAAAGTTGGTGAGGACATCTTGAAACGGTTTAGTTGTCTGTATCAAACAAAAAAACTAGTATTGATATAACAATTCGCAAATTAGTGAGGTGGAATTTTTTTGACGAATACTCGGCCAATCGCGGGTTTCAGGGTCGTTATTGCTGGAGACGAATTAAATCTTTTGTTGGAATTCTTAGATGATTTGTTTGTATACAATGTGTGCACCGCTTCACCAACCTCAATGCGATTGTTACTCATTGCCCCTATCTAGAGCGTCCGCAATCGAGGAAATTGCCTCTCGCTGCCTCTCGCCGCCTCTCGTGGTTTATTGAATACCGAACCCCTGCGTAACTTCAGAGATTACCAAACCTCAAGGAAGTCCTGAAATATCTGCTTAGAATTTTGTGTGGTAGTCTTCCACTGAATCCTGTCATGGGACTTTGGTGATTAGCATACAATTAGCAATTTCCCTTCTGCAGTTTGCACCTGCTTATTGATTTAGCATTGTGTGACATACCCGTGGCAGACTCTGTGTAACCTAAAGTCGTTCTTCAACATTGAGCCTGAGGATCTGACTCCGTGCCTTTCTCATAGAAGAGCGACCTCCATTCTCAGAAGGAAAGCCACTTTCGGCGACTTTGCAGCTCGGACAGTATTTCTCAGTGACGGAGAACTCCAGAGAAATCGGAAAACGGAAAACGGAAAACGCTACTCACACGGGCTAACGAAGGACATATCACTGAACCAGTTCTTGATGGGGGTTACCTCTGTGCCATGAATGAACTTGTAAGTGACTGTTTCATCTACGATTTGCATAAAGTGCTCTTCACCTGCCTCAGGTCTTATTTTCCGAAAAATTAGGCGGCTGCGCTGATTGCTCGTTTCTCCTCACTTTGCGTTAAGTTTCTCTCGAATAATTAATTCTGTAGTCCTTGCAATTTAACATTTGCAAAGCAGTTTTTACTGGTGCAGCTCTCAATCACCACCCTGGTGAATATTTCAAGTTATGTCTGCAAGAACGAAACACAATAGATGAGCACTGCATTGGAGGTAATTGTAACATCTCCCGGGTTGTCTCGTCCACACTTACTTCAGAGAAGTTTCCTTTGGAATGGCTTTAATTCACCAATTCACAGATTTCTGTTAATTTGGTAATAACGTTCTTGTAGTGGTCAATACCGTAAGTTTTATTAGGTCTACATTTTGCGCAATTGGTACGGATCTCAATGGTTGATCGAAACCTCTTAAACCATGTGGAGCTGCGTTCACTTCAAAGGATTCAAAGCTGAATCTTATATTCTCTACAGGATTTCTCATGAACAACTTCTCTCAACCTGCACATCATGAATGTTCAGTCATTCCAATATCTAGTTTATCTGTATCCCTAATTTAATCGTAGAAAGATTGACATTTTTTGTCTTGTCTGAAATATCTTAACAGTAAAACCATCGTGAGCTATGATAAAAAGACGATTGAAATTATGCGACAAGTTTATCTTCAGGACTCCAACATCACAAGTAATCGGTCTCATAATATGCTCATTGTGGTTGCAGATATTAGTGTTTCTCATTTGAATTTCGGAGGCAGCATACAATGGGGGCTCCAGGTCCACCCGGGGTTTATGATCTTCAAAAGTACTCAAGAGGACCAACTCAAAGTCCTCACTCACCTCAATTGGGTAGCTATCAACCTTCATCTCAAGTCAGTTCTTTTCACTATCAACTACCGTCTCGTGACTCCAACCCACTGGGAAGTAATCCTCCGAGCAGCTATCAGCCAAGCTCATATGCGTCTTCTAACCTTCAATGCACGAATTACACATATTTTGGAACACAAAACCAGCAATCTGGCTCTCCGGTGTGTGACAGTCAGAAGTTCATGCACAATGTCCAAGATCAGGGGCCTCGCACTCAGGCCCCTTATTCAACTGCTCTCTTTAATCAACAGCCTGGGTCATCGTTTCCTCGACTTCCTTCATCATCCTTACTTTCCAACCAAGCTCAATCTTCTCTTCCTATGTCATCATCGTCCTTGTCCTCCCAATCCAAATTTTCTCAGACTGGCATACCATGTAGTCCAGCTTCTGGTCATTCAGTGGAAGCAACTCGTCTAATGGCGCTCCTGACTACTCAGCAGTCTGAAGGTCAAGGAGCGAATGAAGATGACGAAAATTCCTCTGTACCCGGGGCCCATCATAGGTCGCCGCGTCTCCCTGTCTCTCCGAGATATTCAAATGTTTCTTTTGGAATACAGCCATCTAGTCCTGCATCTCCTGTGTCTGTAGCGTTGCCTATAGCATCACTTGTTACTTCTGCAGCACCAAGACGGTTAGCTTCGAAACCTCTGAAAGGACAACATCTTCGAGGCGATCATATCATATACGATGTGGATATCTGCAAATCTGGAGAGGCGCAACCACAGTTAAAAGTGAGTCCGATTACAGTTTACGGCTCAGATCCAAGTCTGGTACTAGGAAGGCAAATTGCAGTGAACAAAAAGTTCATATGTTATGGATTGCGTGGTGGAACTATTCGCGTGCTCAACAAAAACAACGCACAGAAAATATTGCTTCGCGGTCATACTCAGGTCAGAATTTTGATGTTATTGAACTCAACATGCATATACCCGTCATAGCTCAGATTAATACATGCTATTTTGTAAGATCAGGAGATTTAGTACTCTTTGAGTTTAGCACGTTTTAAATCAATCTTATGTTTGTGACAGAGGGTATCTGACATAGCTTTCTTCTCAGAGAGCGTGCATCTACTTGCAAGGTAGACCTACGGCAACTATGTAGTGGGTTCTTGCCGACATGGTTGTTGTTCGTTTTGATTGGTTTTCTTTCTTTCTTTCTTTCTTTCTTTCTTTTTGTCTTTTTCTTTTTTTTTTTTTTTTTTTTTTTGACATTCATGTATAGAATTCTTTCCGTTTCACAAGTTTTGAAATGTATTCCAAACACGTCTTCCCTAATTGAACCTCTACTGCACATCTAGAATTCCTCTTTGTTGCACTTGCAAATCTGAGAAGCCCATAATTAATCCAATGTAATGTTGAAAACTGACGTTCATAGCGCGGGCGAGGATGGGAATATTTTCGTACGTCAAATACATGAAGGATTAGGGGAGAATGAAAAGCTAGCTGAGTACATTCTTTTCGCTATTCAACTTGTGGGTGATTGGGAAGCTTGCCATCCCCGCCTGTGTTGGCATCCAACTACACAGGTAATACTGAAGGCTGTATGTGCTTATTGAGAAGCGAAATACGAAATATAGTAGTTGGGCACAAGCCATTTTCATGTTTCCTTATTTTCTTTAAATCGATAGATGTTTGACATCTAGTACACTAACTTTCAGTTCGGTGACAACCTTGAAACCTTGTGAATGCAGGACGTCTTCTTTGTTGCCATTGGAAAATATGTCGTCAAGATTGATATAAATGAGGCAAAGCAATCTGGAGGGTCTGAGGCGTTTAGCACTGAACATCCTCTTGTATGTCGATTGGGAGATGCTTGCAAGGGTATCTCTGTGACTGCACAACATGATGATGTAATCACTGATTTTGCTGTCCCTTTTTCAGATCCCTGTCGTTTAACATCGGCTTCTAAAGATGGCACGGTAGATACTATTCTCAAACTATTTCCATTTCCATCACGTCTATTTGATCATGTGCTAATTGTGTCAACTCGCTATTAAGAACTATTTATTTTTGGTTTAAAATTCTGGTCCTTTTCCACTTTGGTGGTTGTAATTATCCTTCATTGTTGGTGACGATTGTTACACAAGAAATGATAACAAGACCAAAGAAAATTTAATCCAAAATCATCACAATTCACTTCCTCTATCTGCTTATTTCAGGTGCGCGTTTGGGAAGAACACAAGCAATGTCTTTCTAAGTTCACACCGTACAATGGAAACTCTGTTGATGCAGTGTCCTATTTATTTGCACCACAAAACGGAAATTTGCAGTTTCTGCTTACTGGGGTATTTCCTTTCTGGAACACAATCGCCTCATCTCATATGACTAATAATTAGCTACTTTATGCTTACAATCGCGAAACATCTCTTCGTTGTCTAGTTGTTCGTTTCTATTTTCTTTATTTTTGGTGAAACAGGGATTTTGTTGATTAGGCGTTCTCTCCCATTAATTCATCATTTTCCTCTTCCACAATAGGTTGTGATGATCCACCATGTGATGCTGCAGGGGCCTTTAAATCAAAGTATAAGACTCTGGATGCTTGATGAGATTTCGTCCAAGACTGGTCAAGGTGTTTGGAAATGTACTCAGACACTTGAGTTCAAAGTCTCTAGCACCATCAAGCCAGAGAAGGCCTTCTTCAACCAGATCGTTGTAGCACCTCGAGCGGGTCTGATTTTAGTGGCTAATGCTAAGAGGCATGCAATTTATGCAATCCATGTGGGATTCAGCTCCACCTCCGGTATTCCTCGGATGGACTACTTGACTGAATTTGCTGTCGCGATACCAATCCTCAGCCTCACAGTCGCTGATGATGCTGCCATTGAAAGCTGCGAGGGCAACCTCAAAGTGTTTTGTGTCCAGACACAAGCAATTCAACAATATGCTCTTGATTTGTCACAATGTCTACCTCCTCCTGTAGATGAACAGTGTTCGGAGGGCTCTACTCCCAGCACAACTACAAAGAGCTTTAGTGTAACACAGACACAATGGACCCCAACCTCGACGGCTTTCACTGCACTCGAAAAAGGTCATCAAAAGCTGACAACCACAACTGGCTCTACAGTAATAGGAATCACAAGCATGTCCTCCGGAAGTGCAAATCCGGGGATTCCTCTGAGGCCCACGACCCAACATTCTGTGGCAGCAGAAGGAAATAGAGTGACCGAGCGCACAAATTTGATCACGGCTGTACCTTTGAAAGACCATCAAGATGGGGCAGCGAAACCAACGGGTATTTTAACTTTTGGAGGAGGATTGCAGCCAAGTACTAGATCGAACATACGACCGGAGGTTACAAGAGAAGGCTACTCATCCTCGAACAATGCAAAACCACCTGCACGGCTATTACGAAGGCGTTCAAGGTCAATAAGTCCGGCGAAAGTTACCGACAAGCAGTGTGAAACCAAGTATACTGCGTTTTCAAACCTGAAAGCTGAGGAAGGGAAAATGGTGAAGGACATATGGCTGGAGAAGGACAGCACAAAGGCACTACCCCCCATTCCAGCCCTACCTCCAGCATCAGTTGGGATGACTCATATTTTTTCAAGCAGCCATTCTGTTGAGGATGATAATCATGTCAAAGACGATAAGGATGCAGTTCAAAGCAGCAGTGTTTTTAAACCAAACGCCTTTCAGCAGCTTCGAAGTCCACATTTAGTCAGACCTTCTGAGATCATGTCTCATGCGGGAAGGGCCAAAGGAGAAATGGCCTGTATTTCAGATGAAGCCCAAAATCAAACGGATGTGAAAGATTCGCAAGAAGCTACGCAATCATGTACTCCATCCACGGTGAAGAACCTCAGCAGTGGCACTGGTGTTCAGGACAGCGTTGCCGAGTCGTCAGATAGTTTATTATTTGCACGAAGAGAAGATGCATTCTGTGCTTCTACGATAACCTCACATCTAAGAGCCTTTAAGGAAGACGACGAGGAAGGCACTGAGTTCATTGAGAAAGACATATCAGTCATTCAGAATGTTGAGGATTGTACTACCGAACTCGGGTCGTCCGAGGTTATGCATTTAATAGTCGTGGATGACGCTCATACTGAAAATTTCTTGGAGGATAAGCTGTGGTCCGCCTCAGAAGTGGATTCGCAAGATGAACTAAAAAATGTGATTGCTAAGGAACGTGAAGCGGGTGTCTCTGCCACTGCCGCGCAACATAGGATTGCATCTGTGAAAGGGAGGAAGAGTAAGAACAAAACCAATCTCGCTTCGGCAAGCCTACCTCTAAATTCTGATCCCTCCAAACCCTTCTCTGCTCCTGCAACACTTCCAGAGGGTGAAGCGGAATCAAGACTCAATTCAGCTTTTTTGGACCTTGGCCTTATAACTCAAGTTGCTACGATGCAAGAGTCTCTGAATCAGGTTCTCTTTGACTAATTTACTACCTTGCTACTTCCTCTTAATATATCGGTGATGTATAGGGCCTGATTAAAAGATGCAATTTGTCATCGTTACGTTGTAATTGGATCGCTTATGTAACTAATGATGTTCGAACTTACTGCATGCAGTTGATTGCAATTCAAAAAGATTGGCAGAAACAAATACCGGTGATGGTTGCAGTTCCAGTTGCCGAGGAAGCCAAACGATTGGAAGGTTTGTGATAGTATTCCTGTTCAGTACTGGTTAAAGTGGATTCTAATTCTGGTAATTTTTTGTGGGACCCAAATATTAAGTTTTATGATACTGCACTTCTCTTGACATCATTTTCTATGATTGAAACATGCTTTTTAATATAGATAATCTTCACAGGTGCTTTTGGCCAACATATGGAGAAAGTTGTGAAAGCTAATATGGATGCTATGTTGGCACGGGTTAATGACGAGAATGTAAGGAGGGAGAAGCAAGATATTGATAGAGCGCAGCAAGTCTCGACACTTCTAAATAACCTTTTAGACAAAGATATGCCAATCGCCTTGGAATGCGGGCTGAAAGAGCTTTCTGGCGTTGGGCCTAAGATTTCTCAAACTCTGCTTTTACCTCTTCAAAAATCACTGTTAACAGGAGTAGCTGAAGCTCTTCAGGTATGCCCTATGACAATTTTCGTGAATCATTAACTCTGTAAGGCTGCAAATTACCATCATTCAAGTAATTGATTTATGAGTCTTCTTTTACTCGACACTAAAAGGCTGTAAGTTCCGACTTTAGTACCAACATCAGTTTCCTCAGATGATTCTATATGTCGAAGTTCCGACGAGAATCTCACTCTTTATCTGTGTGGGTGGTTTGGTCTCGGCATCCAGAAGAGTGCAATCGAGAAATTTCTACCCCAGTTGGAGAAAACAGCAGTTGCAAAGTTGGAGGCTTCTATAACCAGACTGCTCAAGATTCAATTTCAAACTTCTGGAAGACAAACATTGCAGGTATTTTTAATCAACATACAAGATAGACAATCAATCCTCCGAAAGTATCTGTTTCTGAGCAACTATGTAATGAATCATTTCTAAGCTTCATATTGACTTTGTGATGATTGATCTTGATTCTAGGAAGAACTTCGGGCAGGCCTTGAGAACTTAGTGATTCCAGCATTTGAACGATCTTGTGAAGCAATATCAGAGCAGCTCGATACGGCCTTCCAGACGGGTATGGCCGAGCATTTTTGTAATGCTCAGCAGCAAAAGGCTTCGGAGGATACTCCTCTTGCAATGACTCTTCAGGTGCTTCGGTTTTTCAACTTTCCTATATGCTGTAGCGTCTCAAAACCGCATGTTCCTCGTGTAAGCCTCATTAGGGTCATATAACAAATGTTCAGATTCTGTGACATTGTTCCGCAAATCAGCTAACAAGTCTGAACTTTGTATTAAAAATTCACAGGAAGTAATTGGCGGCGCCTCAGTTTTAGCCAATGTCTTAAGTGATGACCTATTAAATGGCACTGCAAAGCTATTGGAGCTTATCGAAACAGTCTGTGCAAATTTTTCTGGAAATGACGTGATTAATCACAACAAAAGGAGCCTACCTGAGCAGGTAGATATGTAGCACCCATTGCTCTTTTTCGTTGCCATTTACCCTTTCCGCTGATGCTGAAGCACTATCTTCAGTAAATGGAGTGTTAAACATTCACTAACATATTATTAAATAGTTCTCTTTTATTCTTCGATTAGTTTAAGGTTAGCTAATCAAATAATTGCGTTCATTTCATGTAGGCGCTTACGGTGCAACATGTGGAACAGACTTTGGATCCAACTGTTGAGTTGAATAAACTGCTCAAGGAAGGAAAATTGGAGGAGGCCTTCCACAAAGCATTATCTGGTGATCTGCAACTTGTTTCTTGGCTGTGCCTACAGGTTCTCTGCTCTACCCATTTGCTCACCCTAAAGTTCATTTCTCCCACTATCCAAATATATAACGATTTAGCAGTTGTGAATAAAGCGAGGTGAAGACCGAGAGCAGGGTAGTCCGTTTACGTTTTCTTCAACTGTAGGTACTCATCCTTATGAATGTGTTGTGTACAGCTTGAACCCAGTTCCCTTCTCTCAAGAGTGCCTCTACCTCTAAGCCAAGGAGTGTTGCTGTCTCTAGTGCGAAACTTGTCCTTTGATCTGGTAAAGGACACAGGGAACAAGCTCCAGTGGATCAAAGAAGCTGCACTTGCTCTGGATCCCTATGATCCTCGCTTGGTTCCGCATTTACGTGGATACCTTGGACAATGCTACCAGAATTGCTATCAAATGATAAGTACTACAAAGAATCAATCTGAACAGTCAACATTAAAACTTATCTCGCATGTCATCAACTCTTTGCTAAGTACGTGCAACTGACTGACGGGTTTTGGGAGAGTGACAAGGTTCTGAAGTTTCCTCAACCATTGTGACTGCAAATCTCAGAAGAACAGTCAGCACAGGCAACTTGGACCCTCGAATTCTTCAATTAAATATGGTCTGGTGTGTTGTTGAGGATAGTTGACTAGAAAATGCAATTACATACTTGCGTAAAATGGAAAGGAACGTGTCGAAAACGCTCTGAAAAAGTTGTCATAGATAAGAGTTTTGTACGGCCCTATTAGAACATTTCAGAATAGAGTATATGAAAGAACTTTGCACAGATGCACATGCCATCTTGCTGTTAGATTTTTCACCTCTTTATTGTGCTATGGATTAAATACAGTTCTTGTCCACTTACCACAGTGGCTTCGTTTTTTTCTTTTTGACTGCTAACATATACAAGTTAGAAACTCTTTTGAGTTGTACAGATAGTATTGCAAATTTTTCTTTAGAACAAATTTTTTTATGTGAAATTTACTTAGTATTATGTTTTGGAGGTATTTAAAATGAACTCTAAAATTATTATATTATATAATTTTTATTACTTAAATAATATTTTATTCAACAAAAGCTTCATATCATTATTTTTTAAAAATAGCTTCTATGTATGTATTCTTCATTATATTTAAAGTTTTGACAAAGACATAAATTAATATTAATCATGTATATAATTTAATTATATCTTTGATTTATAATGTTAATTTGATTAAATCATAATGTTAAATTAATATGTTGCTATATTATTTTTTGAAATCAAATAAAATTAGATTATAACTTAAATGAATTTAGGATATTATTAATGTTGACACAAATTGCCACTTATTATTTATTATACACCACTATGTAATTTTCTTCAATTACCATTGTATCAAAAAATGATTGTATTAGCTTACAACTTTCAATTAATCTTGTTGGTTGTCAGATCTTTCATGCTTGTATTAAAAGGTGCAAATTTGGCAAAAATGGATATGGAAGCAAGAAATGTTTATATGTTGGCTACTATAGATATTAGGAAATATATCTTGCACAAAAGATACATGTATTTGTTGTGGTTAAAGAAACTATATTGTTTACATCTTTGCACTTTCTTTCTTGCATCGTCAGAGGTAGATAAGTCAAGATTGGTTGATAACTTTATCATATTTTTGGTGCAAATGGATTGACCTTTTAGAGATAATAGAAGAAAATTTGAAAGAATTGGCATTTAGCCTATTTGAAGCTATGCAATTTGTACATACATAATGACTTGTTGTATAAAAGGCCAATACAAATATTGACGTTTAAATTGCTAAAGATTAAAATAAAATTCTTGAATATAGTCATTTGAATTGTTGTGCACCATTTATTATGCAAAAATATCATAGAGATACAAATGTGCATGAATAGCACTAAGTAAAATAAACATGCCTTGAAAAATAGTAATTATAAAGTCATCTAATAAGTCCATTATTTGTTTGAAGGTATCTATGTGTCTCAGATATATACATTTTTCTCAATAATTACTTATATAATTAAGTAGAAGTACTTATATGATTAAGTAGAAGTACTTAAAGAAAGTAGATTATCCCTCTTTTTGGAAATTTTTATCAAAGGTTGTAGATTACTTTCCTCTAATTTATTTTTTTTGGATTTGTTTGAGTTGCCTATGGAAAGAAAGATTATGGATGTTGATCCTAGCACAAGTGAGAATAGATTTGCAACTATTGTAGATCTTCATAAACTTGTCAATACTCTTAGAGTAGAAATCTCACATATTTCTAATGTGAATCATGGAGATATTATACCTATGCCTATGAAAGAAGTTTAGAGTCTAGAACAAGAAGTTGTATAATTGAAAGAAGTAAGTAGATCGACCTTACAACCAAATCCAAGGAGTTTTACTTCTACAAGTATGATGGGAGCAAGGATTAGTATGCCTGAGAAGTTTGATGGAACAAGATCAAAATTTTGAGGATTTTTGTAACAAGTCAAGCTCTATCTAAGGTTGCATCCTTTCCAATATCTTGATGGATTTACTCAAGTTGGATTCATAGGCACACTTCTATCAGGAAGTGCTCTCTTTTGGTTTGCACCTTTAATGGAAAAAGATTTGCGACTCTTCTATGATTTGAATTCATTCCTAGAAGTGTTTATGGCCACATTTGGAGAAAGTGATCGAGAACAAATAGTAGAAACTAAACTCTTGTCTTTACAACAAGGATCACAATCAGCCACCACATATGCTGTTGAATTCCAAAATCTACCTTGCGATATGGACTGAAATGACAAAGTACTTATCAATCAATTTTGATATGGATTGAAGGACAATGTCAAAGATTTTTTATTAACAATGCCAAAAGTAAAATCTTTGGAATAATTTATTGCTCAAGCCATTGCATGCAGTAATCGATTATTTGAAAGGCATTAAGAACAAAGACTTGGCTAGAAAGAAACAAGTCAAGTAATGGCAGTAGCTTCCAAGTTTTTTGAAATGTATTCATCTAAGCCAAAACCAATGCAAATTGATACGATACATTTTAGAAGTCTCACAAAGGAGGAAAAGATTCAACATTGCCCAGAGGGTTTATGTTTATACTATGGAGAAGCTAAGCACTCTACTCAACATTGCCCAAAGAAGTAATGCAATTACAAAATGAAGAGTTCAATTACCAAAGAAGATAGTATGTTGAAAAATCATTTTTTTTAGCTACAATAGAAACTATGCGGCCGAAATCATGTACAATATCTAATAAAGGTCCTATTCTCTCCTCAGATCTTTCACCTTATTTTATAATAGATGTATGTTTAAGACCTAAAAATCACAAAGTCTTTGTCTCATTAGATTCAAGTGCCTCAGCCTTTTTTAATAGACAAAGATTTTGTCAAAAACCAAAAAATACCTTTAGTCAAGAAAACTATATCCGTACATGTAGAAATCATAGATGGTTGTTCGTTGTCTTTTGAAAATATTATTCATGATACTGCTCCTTTGGATGTAAGCATTAAAGATCATAATAGCATAGTAGTATTTAATATAATAAGATCTCCCTCTTATCTAATTATTTTAAAATTATCATGCCTAAAAAAATATAACCCTCAAATAGATTGGATTTCTCATAACTTTAATTTTTATGGTAGTATAATCCAAGATCGAGTTATTAAAGTAGAAGCACAAAAGTCTAGTATATCCAAACCTTTACCAGTAGGTGTGAGAGCTTTCATGCATGCTGCAAAAGAAGCGTCATCTTTTGCAATATATGCTACACCCATTTCTAATGGTGAAAAAATATCAAGTGGTATTCCTAGCCAATATGAAGAATTCTAAGACGTTTTTTAAAAGAAGAATGCAAATATTCTTCTAGAGCATCAACCTGATGATTATTCAATTGATTTGTAAAAAAGAGTTCAACCACAATTCAGACCAATCTATAGCTTATCATAGAATGAGTTGGCTACATTAAATGAGTACATTGATGAGAACTTGAAAAAAAACTTCATACGTCATTCTAAATCCCCAGCCGGAGCTCTTATCTTATTTGTGAAGAAGAAAGATGGATCTTTGCGGATGTGTGTGGATTATCAAGGACTCAATAAGATCACCATCAAGAATTGATATCTTTTGCCTTTGATTTTAGGACTTCTTGATCAACTCAATTAAGCAAAGATCTATACCAAAATAGATCTATACTAAAATAGATCTACGAAGAGCATACAACTTAGTTGGTATCAAAGAAAGAAATGAATGGAAGATTGGTTTTTCAACTAGATATAGATATTTTAAATATGATGTCATGCCTTTTGGAATTACGAATGCACTGACCACTTTTTAATATCTTATGAATGATGTTTTTCATGAGTTTTTAGATGATTTTTTCATTGACTATTTAGATGATATTCTAATCTATTCTAAGAATATAGAAGAATATGAACTTTGTCTTTGTCATGTATTGTAGAAACTTAAAGATGCAAGATTATATGCCAAGTTGGAAAAGTGTATATTCTACACTACTTAAGTTGACTTTTTAGGATACATCATTTCCAATGAAGGTCTTATGATGGATCCCAAAAAAATTCAAATTATCATAGATTAGAAGATTCTAAGAAGAGTATGAGATGTGCAATATTTTTTGGGCTTTGTTAATTACTATCAAATCTTCATAAAGAACTTTTTTGAAGTTGTAGCTCCACTCACATGTTTGACTTGTAAAGACAAACTTGAGTGGAATAAAGAAACAAAAGCATCATTTGATGCTTTAAAAAAGGAATTTACTTCTGCATCAATCTTCCATTGTGTCTATTTTTCCAAGACATTTTTTGTGGAAATAGGCCAGTTAAACTTTGCTATAGGTGCCACAATGTTACAAATAGAAACAAATAAAAAATTCCACCCAATAGCTTTTCATTCCAAGAAATTTTCAGCAATCGAGATTAATTATGAGATTCATGAAAAAGAGTTCCTTAGAATCATGGATTCATTTTAAGAATGGCGTTATTATCTAACAGGCACCTCAAGTCTAGTCACCATGTATAGGGATCATAAGAACCTCGAGTATTTCATGTCAGCATATGTTTTGAATTGTCATCAAGCCCATTGGAGTATGTCTTTATTCAGATTCAATTTCAAGATCACTTATCAACCCTGAAAACAACAAGGTCTATGAGATGCTGTTTCTAGATGTTCTTATCTTGTACCAAAAGAAAGAGATGCATCTTTTGATCAACAAAGAATGATTTTCTTGAAGCCCGACCATTTTCATCTTTGAGCTATAAAATCAACATTGACTGTTGATTTAACCTTTGTCAAGCAAATTCAATCAAGTATGTCATTTGATCTTCTTGTTCATGATATTAAGAATAATTCCTCTAAGTCCTATGACACTTCAAAGTTTGAATTCAAAAATAACCTATTATATTTCAAAGACTGCTTATATATTCTAGAAGGCAAGACACAATTACATGTCCTTCAAGCTCATCATGATTTTTCAGCAGCGAGACATTTTAGATACAATAAGTCTTTAGAGCTAATATCAAGAGATTTTTGGTGGCCTCAAATATGGAAGGCAATCAAAGACTTCGTACAATCATGCAATACTTGTTCAAGATCCAAAACTCCTTGCCATCAATTTTATGAATTCTTTCAACCGTTACATATTCCAGAATAACCATGGTCTTCTGTTTCTATAGATTTTATCACAGATCTCCTAATCTTAGGTTCATATGATTCTATATTTATAATCATCGATCACATCACCAAAATGGCACATTTTGTATCATGTACAAAATCTATTTCAGGTGAAGAAACAGCTAAGTTTTTTATCGACAATATCTATTGCTATTATGGATTGTGAAAGGATATTATATCAAATAGGGGGACTCAATTTGTATCAAGATTTTGGAGAACCTTATTCAAGATTCTAAAGGTGGATATGAAGCTTTCTTTGACTTTTCATCCTCAAACTGATTGGCAAACAAAACGGGTGAATCAAATTTTAGAACAATATTTGAAGTATACCATCAACTATCATCATGATGATTGGACAACTCTTTTGTCATTGGCAGAGTTTACATATAATAATTTAGTACATTCTTCTACTCAACAAACACATTTTTTTGCTAATTATGGTTATCATCTATGACTTGATACTTTTGACTTTTTAAAAATTGATAATCTTATAGCAAAAGATTTAGCAAATCATTTATTAGAGCTACATGCAACAATGAAGATACAATTAAAAAAAGCTCAAAGACGGCAAAAGACCAACGCAAATACCTATCGTAAGGAATAACCACAATTCAACATGGGTGATAAGATATAATTACTTTGTCGTAGTATCAAGACTATTCGTCCTGTGATAAGTTGGACTATCATAGGCTAGGACCTTTTTCTATTTGTGAACAAATCAATCATATTGCTTATCAATTACATCTACTGAAGTCTAGAAGATCCACCTTGTATTTTACATGTCACTTCTTGAGCCATATAAGACAGTGAATATTTTGAGAAGAAGTCAAATGCCACCTCTTCCTATAGAAAGTGGACAATAATCAAGAATTCAAGGTGGAAAAAGACTTAGACTCAAGGTGGTACCAAAATAGGTTGTAATATCTTGTTCATTGGCATGGATATGATATTAGAGAATGCACATGAGAGCTATCAAAGAATCTTGCAAATGTAGCAAAGAAAGTTGAAGCTTTTCATCAACAAAATCGATCAAAACTAAAATGAAGAATATCAAATCTTTGCTATAAAAGAAAGAAGATCAAAGGAAGATAACATTCTACCTTTTATCTTTCTTTGTAGCTTATGTATATTTGTGATGCTAAGGAGATAGAGAACCAACAATCAGTAGATTCAATTCAAGACCTTTCATTTGCAGACTTATCAAATAAGACATTATGACTGTCATAACCTTCAAGACGACAAAATCAAGATGAAGATCTTTAAGAACGACATGTCCTTCTTTGATTAGATGGCGAGATACAACATGTTTGGTATGACGACCTTGGAAGAGACTCTTGATATTTGGTGATTTTATTAGAGGTAGGAACAACTCTTGATTGTATTTCAAATATTTTATTTGAAGGAAGTTATGAAGGCTTCAACAACGACCAAATAATAGGGTGGTCTTCTCACCCTAATATGAGATACTATCAATGGCTGAGAGGGCCTATCAACCATCTTCAAAGAGAACAAAGATTAGAGATTGTGGCAAATACAATTCGCCACATCTTAAACTCCTTCAACATATGAAGACCACTGCTCATAGAACTCCTCCCTAAAAAGTAGGATAATATTGCAGACATATACATTTATCTCAATAATTACTTATATGATTAGATAGAAGTAGATAAATATAGATTAATTTCATAAAGTCTTTTAGTGTAGCTTCCTAAAAGCTTCATAGACACGGTTTTGACTTTGGATGTATTTATAGATATGAAACTTGGCCAATAAGTTAACCACATGTTGGTAGCTTGTGGAACAAGGTAACCATATGGCACATACATGGATAACTTGTCTTGTAAGTTAAGACATGTGGCTAGCAAAGTCAATATGTTTTGGAGGTCCTATAGGACCTTGCCACATAGCTCCTAGTTAAGAGTATATATAGAGGCAAGAATGAAGCCTTCTTCACTCTTGTCAATGCCGTTCTAGTCCTTAATCTTATTTCAAGACTTTCTAGTCTTCTTGTTTTTTTGGCAATAGCCATTCTAATTAATAATACATTACCTTTTGAGTGACTTTCTAATTCTCTTCAGTGACACAAGAGTGTATCGAGGATTCTCTTTTTTTGAGATTCATGTCCTTGACAATGGTTCCTCACAATTTGATAAAATCCTATCAAAGTCTCTTCTTGCCACACTTTTCATATGCTCATGTTACATATGATCTATTAATTTTATTTTTTTACAAACTCTCTTATGTCTCCAACCTCAACAAATGATGTGTCTTTATCACAAGATAAATCTTTCAATGCTTGTGGCTGCTAATTCAAAAATATTTACTCCTTTCATATCCATTCCCATAAGACTTGCCTCTTTTATAATAAGCATCAAAGACGAGGTATCTAGCAAGAAAAAAAGAAAGTTGCAAACTAATACAATCAACTTTGGTATGATGTAGTTGGTTGAGATATTTTTTTTGTAGAATTCAATAAATGGTAGGTGGCATCTTATTATATTAGTAACAAAAATTAAGATGGAATTAGCAATAGCCTAAATTTGTAATTTATATTATAAAGTTATTTTTTATATGTAAGAGTGTAATATTTTTTAAACATTTATGACAAAAATAATAATATTTTTAATTATAATTATAGTTTTGTAAAAGAATAGAATTGTATTTGAAAAAATTAAAATTTTATAATAAAGTATTTTTTAAAAAAAATAGTTTATATATATATATATATATATATATATATATGTATATATATATATATGTATATATTTATATGATTTTATTATACATTTAAAAAAATAAGTTAAATTATTTTCTAAATTTTATTTGTGTTGACTTTATAATTTTTTCAATATTTATTATTATAGATTATTTTAAAATTTTGTGAAAAAAAAAATATATATATATATATATATATATATCTATCTATATACATATATATAAATAAGCATCAAAGATCCCGGCTTTGCAACTCTTGAAACTACCGATTAATGTGCAAAGTTAGCGAAGGTTAGCAACGAACCATTGCTGACGGACACTTCTCCAAAGTGCCACGTCGAATTTCGAACGACTCGACCAATCATATCTCTCGTCACGCCGATGTGATTCTGTCCACCTAAGCAAGCCTGCCTGGTTTTGGTGGGGTCCAACCTGACACGCTGGCAAGGGGGATTCAGCTGCCACGCTGGCAGGGAAGGTCTACGCAAGTGGAGGATGAAACCCTAAAGCCGACGGGTGGAGCCCTAAATCCGAGAGGGGGGGGGGGGTATGAAGGCTTCGGACAGCAGCATTCTCTTTCTCTTCTTCGCACTTCCTCTCGCTCAGCTTGGGCGCTGTGTTCTGCACCCTCCTTCCGCAATGGTACGTTCCCCCCTCCCTTTCACTCTGCGTTCGATTCTGCAACCATTTCTCTATCTGCGTCTTTGGAACTACCCTGTAACGATCTGCGGCTCCAGTCGTGTGGAGCTCTTGGAGTTTCTATCCAATTTTTGGTTATTTTAGTACGTGTTTTCTGTGGTAGGTTTTTTATGATGAGTTGGGTGAGATTTGGACTGTGGCTGGTAGGTAGCTATGATCAGAGTGGGATTGTTGGCATTTTTTCGAAGGGGTTATTGCCCTGACTTCTACTTCAGGGTTTAGGGTTTCGAGAATGCTGGTGGACCTTGTTTGTGTGTCGAGCTGGATTTCTCTTTTGTTAGTATTGGTGTTTACGAGCGTTTTTTTTTTTTTTTTTTTTTTTTTTTTTTTTTTTTTTTCTCTCTGTGTCTGTTTTTCAGGTGAAGTATGCGAGGGAACCCGATAATGCGACCAAGGGTATGTGTCTGTTTTTTCTCAGTATGGCATGGATGATCATGCGTGTTTATTGCTTTGGTAGTTCCCATATCATCTCTATGATTGTGAACGCTTGGGTATTCGCCATGTCTCTTATTGCTTTTTACTCTGGTGAACGTAGCCTGCAAGGCCAGAGGGTCGGATTTGCGAGTGCACTTCAAGAATACTAGGGAGGCAGCGCAAGCCATTAAGCATATGGAGTTAGCCAAGGCCAAGAGGTACCTAGAAGATGTGTGTGCGCACAAGCAAGCTATCCCCTTCCGCAGATTCTGCGGCGGAGTTGGGCGAACTGCCCAGGCCAAGGCTCGTCACTCCAACGGGCAGGGGCGTTGGCCTGTGAAGTCAGCTACCTTCTTGTTGGGTTTGTTGAAGAATGCTGAGAGCAATGCAGAGGTATATATTCACAATTCTTTAATATATTGCGCGAACAGTGTCCGCTGCCCAATTTTGTTGTTATTGATGTAAATGAACTAACAATGTGAGAACTATGTTGTGATTTCAGGTTAAAGGTCTTGATGTAGACACTCTTGTTGTATCCCACATTCAAGTTAACCAGGCACAGAAACAGCGTAGACGAACCTACCGTGCTCATGGACGTATCAACCGTAAGTTATCCCATCGTTTTACTTGGTTAGCTTTATGATCTTCTGTCCTATTAGTGCTGAGCGGAAGGGCGATGATGACGAAATCTTACCTATTTCATGATCGGAAATGATCCGGATGAATGCACTCTTGAACTGAGCCCTTACCCTTGAGTTAACAATGGCCTCTGAATGTGACTTCACCTAATCATAATTACAACTAATAACTTACGTCGTTATGCAGCTTACATGTCCTCTCCTTGCCACATTGAGCTCGTCCTCTCAGAGAAGGAGGCTCCAGTAAAGAAAGAGGTAATGTTACCTACTCATCTCTCTCTCCCGAAGTTCGCAAATGTAGCTAGTTTCAGTAAAGAGTATTTTACATGGTCCTCATGTGATTAAAAGTCTAATTGTAGAAAAATCATCGATCGTGCAGGTTGAGGAAGTTGCTGCCCCCAGGACAAACAGGAAGAACCAAGCCCGCCTGCGCAGCGGCGCCACTTCAGCCACTGCGACTGCTTAGATACAATGTTGATTGCGAACAGTCTCTGCCCATGAGTTGTGGGACACTCCCACTGTATCAAACGCTTTATCAAAGAAGCAATTTGTGGCTCAAATCTTGCGCTGGGTTTTGCATGACATAGAAGTATTGATTAAGTGTTTCTCGTCACGTTATTGAATACGTGACAAATATTTAGTGACAAGAAATGATGAGGGTCTCGGACTTGATCCCAGAATGATGAAAAACACCTAAATTTGGAAGTGCGAGCAACCGGTCAGAAAATGTATTGTAGACTAGTAAATGTATTGTAGTCCAAATCATTGAATGATTTCATATTCCCTTTTAATTTTTCCCAAATGATCTGAAGATCTGTTCGCATTTTACTATAAATAATCAGAAAAGTCTCACCAACAACCATATTACGCAAAGCCATCTCTTTTTGAACACGACCCGAAGTAAACTGACGATCACATGAGGGAGATATGGACGGTCTTCGACAAGAACAAGATAAATTCCATCGAAATCTCTTGAATTGTGCAAAAGGCCCTGTAGAGTTAATTCCCTTATAGAAAAATAAAGTTAAAGTTTGATTTTAAAGTCATTGTTCCAGAGCCACTTTAATGAGGTAGAATTAGAGATAATAACAAGGACAATCAAGAAAAAAATGGAATTGATGTGTGTGGCTTTTAGCAGGCATGTAATCTTTTTATAACATTGAACAAGTTAGTAAAGATTCAAAGACTTTAACATAAAATAGAAACTAAATTATCAAACTAGAAGAATTAAGAATTACTTGTCATAGATTATATATATAATTATTTGTGATATATTTTTAATATATTATTTAATGTCATATTTTTCCATATGAATTTTAAAATAGATACTATATAAACCTATCCTTGACTCTCTTAACCTATTATTTAGAAATACATAAGAAGATTTTATCTTTTTTATATTTTTATTCACCATTAATAAAAGAAATAAAGTCTATCATAATATTGTTTGATGATTGACTTATGAAGAATAATGAAGAAATTAAGATGAAATTAGCTTAAGTACAGTACAAGAAATTTCTTTGTAAGATGTTGATGTCTATAAATCAAGAATGTAGGAGATAAAGAAAAAATAAATAAAAAAATAAAATGAAAACCTCTTTCAAAATGAATAAACTATTACTGATCTTAATAATACACTTTTATAATTGTTGGTTAGAATTTGCCATTGCTGTATCTTGAAAAGGAGACTCATCAATTGTTACCTGCCTCATATATTTAAGTTTTATTACACAAACATACCCCATATTTATTCATGCATTTTGAAGTTTTATTTATTTATATATTTAATATTTTCTATTGCCACTATGACAACATTTTTTTTGAGAATCATGTTGAAAATTTAACAATACTGGCACAATATTGTGCAGATATACTCAATTCACATCATTTCAAGCAGTAAGGCATTTTGAAAGAAAAAGAAAAATGGACCTCTCTCTGCATAAATTATAATATGACATATATAACTATGTATAGATATAGATATTTTCAAGTCACCTCTGTTCAGTTAAAATAAATTAACAATTGATTCTTCAACAGAGACACCAATAATTTTACTATAAATACCAATATCTTTTTTAACAAATACATATAAATTGGCATTCCAATAGTTATTCCAAATTATTAATAAATTGTAAAGTATTAGTAAATATAAGTCAAGATATAGATTCACCCTTATTCATACTATTTCCTAGTCAAAATATTGTATTGCATGCTATCAATAAATTGACATACAAACTACTACAAAAAGTTAACAATATTACAATCCCATTGAAATAAGCTCATATAAGGTAGCCAACCCATTGTTGACAACCCCACATTTCCACCATGTAAGTAGGTTTTTTTTATTAGTCCAGTAACCTATTGTCGAGTAAGTCTGACATCGCTTGGTTGGAAATAGGTTGGGAGCTAGTTAAAATAATATTAAGTTGTGCATATGAAATAAAATTCATTGTACTTAGAATAGATATGTATAAACATTAATATAGGTGGCAATTGTTGATTGATTGGGGTGGAATAATATAGCATAATTAGGTGTCACACTTCTTAGTTTTGTAAAAGTTGAATTCTTAGTTTTTTAATCCACTATTGGTCGAAATTAGGTTTACTTATATGTCAAAAATGGATCAAAGAGAATCTTCAACTAATAATGACAATAATATAATACAATGATAACACAACGTAATGCAAAACATGCATTGTCAATACTCATTCATTTCAATATTTATTTCAGCATTCAAATTCATCAAGGACTTCAGTACTTCCATTATTGCAATTCAAGAATACAAAACATGTTCTTGCTCTCCGTTTTCTTGACACATGAGGTAACTTAAACACTACCCGTTGCAGTCATTGGTGCTGCATGCTACAAACTAGAGTTTGAGGTTACAAAACCCAAAGTAGGTCCAACTATAGCAGATATCGGAACGAACGAGCGCATTCAAGCGCTTTAAAGAGCCGAATTAAAACAATAAATGCTGCACGAGCAATACTCCAGCCAATGCAGAATTCAACTCGACCATAGCATACTCCATTATTCACCTTCGTAATACTCTACAGATTTTTTTTCCCTTAATAATTCTTCCATGAGGCGATTCTATAACGAACGGGACCCCGACATCTCCATGTTCATGCTCACTCAACCACTCACAGTAACCTGAAATTCAACAAAAACAATTAGTACAATTTGAGTAAAGACGCAACCAAATTTACGAGTTCAAAGGCTCATCAAATAAATGTATTTAGATAACGAACACTAGAGAGAAACATAAAATAGAGCACTCAAATGTTAAATCAAGGAAGCCGAGGTTCTAACAGAGCAATGTAAGAAGTGAAGAAATTTGATAACAAAACGCGGATAAACGTGAGAAAAGCTTACATTCTCGGCTGCTGTAATGGCCAACCATTCAGTAGCGAAAGGACCCAATCTGTAATCAACTGAATATACTCCCCAAATTGTAACCTTCTGCAATTTAAAACATCCTCGTCAACGGAAGAAACGCTTCCTATTGTACACTTACTATCAATTTGCTCTCGACTTTTAAGACACTCCAATTGTTTGTAAACCTCTAATCATTCAGCAAAAGAGACAGCAACAAGAATACAATGAGCGGACACTATTTGGTAACCCAAAATAAAATTGAACAAATAAAGAATAAGCAGATAATATTCACTTAAGCAATTGAACACTCTACTGTGTGCTGCAAGACAACAGACGTACAAGTGTGTAAATGAGTACACCTCAATCCCAAGTTCGTATAAATGAACCTACCGTGCCACTCCGCACCCCCTCAAACCACCATCTGCTCCACCTACACCTTGCACAGATCCACCCTCATCCCCCACCAAAATCCATGTCTCCAGCATGTGCCGCACACGGCCCACCCATCTCACTGCCCCCACCACCTACTCAGCAACACCTCCCATGCACCTCCTCGCCCGTTCCGTGCCCAATCGCTTGCCCCGCACTGTTGCGCGTCACATGCTCCCCGCTGGAGCTACCTCGTTCTACCTCATCGAGCTCATTGAGTAGCTCGGAGGATTCAATGACCCGTCCCGCAGAAGCCTCATGCTCAGGCTGTTGAACCGATCCCGAGAGTACTGCCGCGACGCTTTTCTCCAATCTGTACCCCTCCGCATCATCACCGCGAACTCCTCATAACTGATCCGTCCGTCCTTGTCCAGGTCCACCTCCGACAGGATGGCCTGCACCACGTCCGGCTCGCTCGACAACTCTGTCATCGCCTCCCCCACAGCTTCCCGCAGCTCCTCCGTCTCGATGTACCCGCTCCCATCCACGTCGAACACGTCGAACGCCCTTCGCAGATGCTCGTCGTCGTCCAGGCGCTGCAAATGCACCGTCGCAGCCACGAACTCGCCGTAGTCCAGCGTCCCGTTCCCCTCCACGTCCGCTGCTTCCATCAGCATCCGCACCTCGTGCTCCGTCAGTTGGGACCCGATTTCGATCAGCCCCATCTTCAGTTTCTCGAATGTGATGGTCCCCGTCTTATCGCTGTCCAACTTCTCGAACATTTCCTTCAGCCCGTCGATCTCCTCCCCGCCCAGGTGCTCGGCGATCACCTGCAGCGCCCTCTTCTTCAGCTTGTTCATCGCCGAGAACTGCTTCAGCCGCGACCTCACCGCGTCCAGCGGCACGTTCGGGTTCTTCTTCGCGTTCTGCAGCCACGGGTGGTCCAACACCTGCTGCGCATTGTACCGCGCTTTCGGGTCTGGCTCCAGCATGTGCCGCACCAGCGACTTCGCCGTCTCGGACACCTTCGGCCACGGCTCCCGCTTGAAATCCAGAATCCCGCGCAGAATCGCCTGCGCCACGCCCTGCTCCGTCTCCGCCCAGAAGGGAGGCACCCCGCACAGCAATATGTACAGGATCACGCCCGCGCTCCACACGTCCACCTCCGGCCCGTAGTTCCTCTTCAGCACCTCCGGTGCCATGTAGTACGGGCTGCCCACAATCTCCGAGAACCTCTCCCCGGGCTTGAAAAACACCGACAGCCCGAAGTCGATGGCCTTCAGCGGCGCATTCTCGTTGGTGTTGGCGAACAGAAAGTTCTCGGGCTTCAGATCCCGGTGTATCACTCCCTGCCTGTGACACGCCTGCACCACCTCCACGATGGTCCGCGTCACTTGCGCGGCGCCCCGCTCCGTGTAGTGCCCCCGCGCAATGATCCGGTCGAAAAGCTCGCCTCCCTCGCACAGCTCCATCACCAGGTGCACGGCGACGTCGTCTTCATAGGCGCCCTCCAAGGTGACGATGTGCGGATGATGGGGCAGGTGTTTCATGATTGCCACTTCTCGCCGCACATCCTCCACATCCACGGCAGTCCTGAGCTTCTTCTTGGAGATAGACTTGCAGGCGAAAACCTCCTGCGTCTCCTTGTCCGTGCACAAATACGTGATGCCGAATTCCCCACGCCCGAGCTCCCTACCAAGCACATACTTGTCCAATATTCTGGCCTTCGGCTGATTCTTCAAAATCTGATTATTGCCATAATAACGATCGTGTGCAAATAAGTTCGCCCTGCGCGCCCTCCTAGACTTGTTCGATGAAGATCCTACGCAACAGTTTCCCATACTGCCCTTAATCACACCAAGTTCACTCTTCCTTGTCCACTTCCATGAAGAGTCACCTCTCCGCCGCACCAAACGTTTCCAGCTTAACAATATTTAGCTTCTAAGATTACCCGCAACGAAATTTCTTCAATGACGCATCCCTGTGACCATGAACCTTCTCACACACCGCCTGAAAGCATACCGAACACAATCGCGAGTCAATTCGCACTCATCGACACTTTCGAGGCTTCATGACTACATAGCGCACACTGTTGGGTTCCTCAGTCTATGCTAAAAACTACAGAATCATCCTTCGCAATGTTGCAAGAGTCCACAAACCCTACTCGTGGATTCAGCAACAGCGAGGCAGTACAACTTCAGCGACTGCAGAAACAAGTGCGCGTCACGAGATCCCGCCGTGCTGCATTGCCATTCCGGGTCCAGGGAAGCGACCGTGCAGCTGGTAGAGAGATCCGATGAGTTTGGAGCGGAACATGGGCGACGATCTGGATGCGGAGATGGAGGAGCGATTGAAGGGGACGGGAAAGCATGGGAGCGGGGCCAGACTCATCGTCGTCGCCGCGCCCTCGCTTACCTCGCTCCCCACGCTGCGACAACGCCCCCCGCCCCCTACCCCTTCCGATGCCGCTGCTGCATTTGTTCATCTTCAAGCTGATGAATGATGATTTCCTGTGGATGAATGATGGGTTGTGACGGGTGACATTAATGGATGTTTCGTGGATGACTGAAAAATATGAGGTTGGTACGACTGGGGGGTGACGTGGTGGGTTGCATCCGTAGAATACGATCGCCATCCATGGATGCCCATGTGCTCTGTATCGTATATAACGTGGCCGTACTTCATGAATTTCGAGTTCATTTTCGTATATATAAAATGTAAAAATGTATGTAAAATGTACAATTCTAATAATTGTAACACTAGAATATTTTTAAAGATTAAAAGTTATATTGAGTTTGTGATTATTCATAACAATTTTTTTATGTATATTTTCTAACAGTTTTATAAAACTATATTTTTAATTCTCTCTAAATTTATGTTCTTATATGTATATGTATATGTATATAATACTAGAGAAACCACATAATTGATTTTTATTTTATTTTATTTAAGGACCGAAATGAAAAAGAAGCATTTGACATGATGCATGATTAAGAACTAAAATACTACTTGCTTAGAATAAAAAAGCAATATCATAGTAGGAGAACATTAAATTTTGGAATTTTTTAAGCATGCAAGTAATGCCTTTTCAACTCTGAAAAGTAAGTTTTTTGATAATAAGCATAATTTTTTATATATAACAAAAATACTGAAGGTTAAAGAACGCATTTAAAATATGGGTGTAGTAAAACAATGATTTTTTTAAATCTTCAGATATTTACAAGATAAAATCTTTACAATTAAAACATCTAAACAATCATACAACAAAAAATAGGATTTAAAATTGATATTACAATATACATTAAAATATAAAAAACGCAACTCCAAAATAAGAAAGAGGATATGGAACCAACAAATTTTGTTGATTCTTATAAATAATTTGTCTTCAATCTAAAAACAATGACATGCATAAAGGATCAACATAAATTCAATAAAGAATAAATATAACAAAAGATGATCACAAGTATATTGCACTCTATAAATTGTAAACAATTGATAAAGTACCCAATTAAATTTTAATTAATATATATATATATATATACATCTCAAATATAATTATTTATAAACAAAGCTTAAGTAAAAATTTAATAGGGATGCATTATGGAATGTATATATATATATATATATATATATACAGAAAAAGATTGATTTCAATTATTTTTTTCTACAAATATAGTTTTATTAAAAAATATATATTTTTAAAAAAAGTGAGATTAAAATTGTCAATAAAAGAACAATATGAAAAACAGACACAAAAATTAAATTTCTAAAAATAAGAATGACAAGTGGTAGATAAGAAATACATCATAAATGAAATTCAAAGTTACTATTAATGGAAGATGGTAAAAGTAGAATTAGCGAGTTAAAAGCTTTTACAAATAATCAACAAGAAAATGTTTTCAAAAAATAAACTGTATTCAACTTAAGGTAGATACAAGTAACAGGTACAACATAAAAATAAAAGTATGAAACACAACTTACTACTCACATATTTTACAAAAACTGCATTGACTAACATATATTAGAGTAATTTACAGGAAGGTGTAAAGTAAACTTGATTTTCAAAGGTTTTCAAAGTGTTTCTGGAAACATCTTTTGTCTGATGGACATTCTATTATAGCATTGGTGTAGTTGTTTTTGTAGATAACTGTTGTTAAAGGACCACCTATCAAATATATTTATTGTTAAATAAATGTTTTTTGAAAAAATTCAAGTGAAAAACCAACAATCAGACATACATTAGGAAACCCACTATTGGGCAGCCCTTCAAGCTTCCACACGAGCTTTGAAATTGGATAGAAATCAAACGTGGCTGCAAAGTCCACGAGCCCACGAAGACTGCAGGGCTGTGGGGCCTCGAAACAAGCACATGCGAAGACCATATAAACAAGACTGCGGAGCTTGAAGGACTTGAAGGGCACACACAGCACGAAGACTATGGATAGGGACATAACCGAGAATCAACACTCGTGCAGAACCATCTCAGATACACAACTTTTCATGTACAGTACAAAGAAAATATGGTACAAAGTCATAATGTAGCGCTCGGCAGCGTACCCAGATACTTGCCACCGCCTCTCACACGACACTCCTTAGAATGAGTCATGCAACACAAGAAACTCAAGCCCATGCACTAACATGGACAGAGTGCTTGCTAGTCAAGCGGCGAAAAGAAAAGAATCTCCCACCAAATGTTCTCGCTGAACGATTGATGTGCCCCAGCCATCAGGATCTTCAATGAGATGTAGCTCCCACCCCACCCACTCAAACCCCTCCAGGATCCAACATATAACTTCAACAGAGATCAGCTGCAGTATCTTCCTCTGACTCCTCAGTGAGAATCTAACCAACTAGGGTAGCTGTCTCAACTTCGCTAAGCGACCAATCCCTGAAGAATGTGCAATCCCTACGGATAGCATAGCATCGTGTCAACCTCGGTGCACAGTCATCGTCAGATATCGGAGCAACCCTAGAACCCTGGGGGTGAGCTGGTTCTGCAGAGCCGTGATGATGAACGGGCCTTCGTGAAAAGCACCCAATCAGGCAAGCCCCACCTTCTTCAGAGTGTGTCGATAATGACCGTTGAAACGTGTCCTCTATCCGGAGTGATTGAGTAGAGGCATTGCATGTCAAACACCCGAGACTCATGGCTATAAACTTTATAGGTGAGAGAACAAATGATATGATGTATGCTCCACGCGATACCTGAACACACCCCAAAAGGTTTAAGTTTGATGGGAACTTCATTCAGACTCCTACATACCGGCCATCAAGTAACTGGTACTACGCTGCCATAGTAAGCAAAAAAATTCTCGTGAACGTGCACAGTTCATAAGACAAAAAGTACCCAAAATTGATGTCGGAAAATCACAGAAGCCAGCTAAGCACTCTCATCGATTCCCGGCTCTTAGTGTTAGTAGAGCCACATCATTCCTACCCACAACTAATGACAAATTACACTACCCGAAGGAGAGGATAGGCAGCTACAGATAATACGTGCATTTTCAACTACTATCTCCGGAGAACTGCATAGTGCTGGTACTAACAGAGAAATTCCAAATCAAATAGCAGATTGCGAATCACCGCATGTGGACGTACGACATTCCAGGCACCGAATGCTCCGTAATTTTCTATGTACATCAAAGAAACTTCATTCTATTCAGAATATTTGGGCGTGATTAGCAAGAGAACAAATCTTATAAAAATGAAATTAAACAATTTCATGCGACTTCTCACATTAACCACACCGTCAGCAGAAAACCAGCAAGTATAAAGTATGAAAAAATAGCTAGTGACAAGAAATGATACAGGGTCATTCAAAACACGTCAAGCCTCACGAACATAAACCAATTAGGCCTCACATGAGTGCATGCATATACGCTCTAAAGATCCGCTCTATTTCCAGGCATGCTAAGCAAACCCATTCGCAAGAGTAAGACCTAAGGTACCACCAAAAGCATGCCCTCGACATCCAAGCGTCGCCAAAATTGCAAACCAAGACACCACATAACAATCAACAGTCACGGAACCACAAACACAATTCCACTAAAACCCAGCTGCTCACGTGTCTCGTAAACAAGACTGACAGTAGTGCCCCTACCAAAAAGCTCAAATAGAGAGGGGAAGGAAGTACCAGCTCGCTATTCCAGTCACGCCGTCACCCCAACTCCCCAACAGGATTTTCCTACCCTCACAAGCATCTCAACCCGAACGCCTTCAGCCAACGCCACTGCTCCTACAAACCTCCAGCTCTTCAGATCCAACCTTCCGCGAGCCTAACAGCACAAAATGCCCCTCAATTGAACGTTGTAAGAACCCAGCTTCTCCTCTTCAATTCTCTCCACCACCGCAAAGCAGAAGCACTCCCTCAAACCTCCCAAAATAACGAACACTGCCAAAATCCGCACTAATGCCCCACCAAACTGTCTGGGCTCTAAAAAAATTCCACGGTCGGCCTCCGACCCCGCCGTTGTCTCTATCGAAGGTCCTTAACTAACAGCAAACCTCCGAATTGGGCAAAACGACGATCCGAAGCGCAACAAAGCCCAAGCAGAGCAGACACCGTTGCCGAAGGACGGCCTTAGCTCCGACAGCTTGTTCTGGAGACCCGAATGGATGAGAGATTTATGGATGAATGAAGACCATCATGGGGGCGTGATTGATGATAAATGCGGTGGATGAAGTGTTGCTGCTTGTGATGCACCGTGGACGGTGGGTGACGTGGAGGGTGGGGATGACGTGAAAAGTATATATATATATATATGGATTCGGATTAATTAGTTCAAATACTGAAAAAAAACTGAAAATTATTTTTTGAATTCAGGTATAAGTAACAAAATTTATTTATTTTATTGTATGTCATATACTTTTAAAATAAGATTGCAGTTCTAGTGTGTTTAAACAGATATATTTAGAAACATATGTATATATATATATATATATATATTGATTTTTGCATAAAAATTAAGAAAATTAACCATTTTCAAATTATAAATTTATTCTAATTCGAATGCAATCTAATTAATCTAATTTGAATTTATTTTGTAATAATTTTTTTATTTTTTTATTTAATATTTTGTATCATTAATCAAATATTTTTTAATATAAAAATTTTAAAATTTTAAAATCACAAATTTTACATGATTAATTTAAGATAAATTTTAAAATTAATTTTTATTTCAAAAGCGTTTTTATTAATTTTTTATATTAATTAATTTAACTTGAGTTTATCAATATTATGACCAAAGTTCTATATTTTCTTAAAAGTAGTATAGTTTATTCTTAAATTATAAAACTTTCAAATAAAAAAATATATTTATATTTCTAAATAATATTCTTTTTAATTGATTACAATAAGTAAGTTTATTTATGCATATTAATTACTTGAATTTTTTATTTGATTAAAACTTTAAAATTTTATAACAATATCAAATTGAAGGACTTTAATTTTGTAATTTAAAAATTTATTTTTTTAAAATTTAACTAAAAATAAATAAAATATAAGATTAACTTGATTATGTACATTTTTTAAATTGACTATTTAATTTTTAGATATTTTATGATATTAAGAAAAATTTATCGAAAAGATTTAAATTTAAGTTATTTCAACTAAGATACCAACCTAATAATTATAGGTTGATGTGACTTATTATACTCTTAATTTGAATAGATTTTCAAATTTTTAGTTTCTCCTCAAACATTGATTTATTTATTTATAATAGTTAGTAGTAAATTTTATATATATATATATATATAGAGAGAGAGAGAGAGAGAGAGAGAGAGAGGAATGTAATTTTTTTGATGATATATTTTGTTCAACTATCAAATATAAAATCACACACTTAGAAAAATATACAATATATATATATATATATATATATATTCTAAGTTCTAATCAAACACATTTAGAATCACAATACTTTTGAGTAAAGCATTGGAGTTGTTAAATCTTTTAATGATTGCTTGTAATATATGTTAATTTCTCACCAGACAAGGCATAATGTATGTTGTTGCTACTCCTCTTCTTTTTGTTAAAAAGGGGCTCAAACATTGCCCTTCCACTCTTTTGAAACTTCTAAAGAAATGATTCAAAACAGCAAGCTTATTTACTATTTCTTATTTATGTACATATATATCATAATTCAAATAAAATATAGATTAAATTTTTTTTATTATTTAGATTGGTATAGATAATAATATAAAAAAATTAAAAAATCTATCTTTTTATTATTAGTAACTTTAATTGATGTTACTTCTAAGTTTGAATTTGATTTTTAATATAAAAAACTTTTGGTTTTTATTCTTCTCTAAAATCATTTTTATACATTTTTGTGTATTTTTTTATATAGAATATCTTTTTTCTATATTATGGGGTTTATACAATCAAAAATTAATACATATACATTTATATAAATCTCTCTCTCTTTCCATATATATATATATATATATATATTAGAGAAATTTCATAATGTACATTACTTTTGTAATACATTAGTTTTACAAACGTCACTTAATTGAAATTCTTAATTATTATTTTAAAAATAATTTTAGTATTTATTAATATTTAATCAAATTTCAAATTTTATATAGTTCTTTATTCTATTTTTTATATATTTATTTTAAATATATTTATATCTTATAAAGTAATTTTTTGTAATCAAGTTTTTTTTTTTTTTTTTTTTTTTTTTTTTTTAAATGTTTTTGTAAACAAAACATTATAAAAAATGATAAAATTCTTAGAAATAATTAAAAAAAAAGAACATTTTAGATATAAACTTTTTAAATAATAAAAATCCTTTCTAATGAATACTAATAATACATATGATTTTAATTTTTTCACCTTGTCATAAGTAATCCTCCAAAAACTAATACATCTCAATAAATAATTAATATTATTGAAATTGACTTTGTTGAATGGACTTTAATTGAACTTTATTAATTAAAAAAGATAGTCTATAGAATCCACATAACCAACATAGATAATTTCCATGTTGTTTTGATTGCACCACCTCTAATGATTAATAATCTTTGATAATAAATAAAAAACCATGTATATGTATATAGTCATTTTCATAGACTATAATTGTTTTATACTTAATTCTTGATAATAAATGTATATTATAGTTTTAATTTTGAATTATTTCTTGATACAATATAGTTTTTTATTTTTTGAATCATATATGTTTATATATTATTAAACTATTAACACGTGAATGAAATATATATATATCTAATTAATTAAATATATATCTAATTAATTAAATATATTAAATATATTTCTAATTATAATATTTTTACATATTTAAAAATAATAATAATAATAATAATGATAATAACTCCAGTATCAATGTAAATATCAGATTTAATACATAGTGCAAAATTTATTTATTTTTGTAAAAGTTATATATCAATAGTTATACCATCATAAATTTTGATGTATTGTTCATCATATACTTTTAATAGAAATACAAAATTATTAATACTAAAGTAAAGTTTTTAAAGTTTTTATAAATAAGATCAATTTAAATTGCTCATAGCAAAAATTGTATCATATTAATATATTTGAAATTTGATATATGGTTTTTAAATCCATAATCTTTTAAGAAAATAAATATATTTTTTTAAAAATATAAAATTAAAAAAAAGTATTTTAAGCATGGAATCATGCATAATTCTTTTAAAAAAAATACAATGTAACATGTATAGTTTATATGAATCTTCTTTTAAATAAGTTTAAACTAATACTTAAAATAATATATATATATATATATATATATTTACATATACTGAACTTTTTAAAGTATTACAATGGTTAACAAAGATAACAAAATCCACACACGTTTTTATAATTACAAAATATCTACAACAAATGAAGAAAAATATACAAGTAATGAAATTAAACTTATGATTAATTTTTACAATCCTAATCTTACTTTGTCTTAGAATTAACCGATTTGTTTTTTACTTACTCTACATCATTTTAACCAATTTATAGCTCTACTATGGTACTAAAAGTTTCTTGAGTGCAAAATGCATACATAAAAAATATATTTTTATAAATACAGACGAATGTCTTAGACATATATTAGTTCTTTATTAATCTTTTTATCAAGAAGTTGTATCACAGTACAACAATGTAATATATATATTTTTACTTTTATTTTTTATTAATTAAATATTAATAGTATTTTTTTTCTATTTTAAAATTTTTTAATTACAAAAGAAATCAGATTCTTAATGATTTAACAAATATTCATATTAAATTAAGATATAAGAATAATTCTTTGTAGCTCTTGACTTTATTGCTAGCATTATTTAAATATTTCGTCATTACTATATTATATAGAAAAGATACAATAGAATTAAAAGATTTCATAATGACTATAGAATTAAAAGATTTCATAATAACTAAAAAATAATAACTTCTATAGCATTTTTTTATAAGAAGCAAAAGAATAAAAAAAAGACATAAAAGAAGAAATTGTAGATCAAATGATAGAGATTGCTTTAATAAATCAAAGATTATATAATATGAATGTAAGAAATTAAAATATTTAAAAATTTCTAGATTTTTGATTTTTAATTTTGAAATAAGGACATCTCCAAATTTTCTATATAAATTTAGAGATGTTTTTATCTTAGAGATGTTGTTATTTTGAAATGTTTAGGTTATTGATTCATGTTGCTTAAATTATGGGATTTAAAAAAAAAAAAAGTTTTAAACTTCAATTCTATATAATTATAGAATTATATTAATGAAATAAAATATGTCATATATACTATAGCAATGGACATAATGTATATTAAATTATTTGATATGACTATAAATACAGATGCAGATGTTAGGTATATTCTTAAATTTTAAGAAAACTAAAATATTCTAAATATATTAGACATAATTAATTATAAATAGATAGCTTAAGATAGAATTATATATATATATATATATATATATATATATTAAAGTGTGTGTAGTGATAAATAACAAGAGGATTGAAAACTTATATTAACTTATCATGGACATTATTATATATATAATTGCTACTATATCTATTTATGAAAAAAAACTAAGTGGGTGTGGTATATATGTATGTGTTATAGATGAGTACCTAAAGAACGTGTAGATATAATATAGTATAATATAAAGGTTGAATTATGTATTTTTGGATAAAATATAAAAAGATATTATATGATATTAAATTGAAAATAAGCTTTTGAATTAGAATTAATATTATCTCTAGTATTTTAATAAATTACTTTCTATCTATTCATATTAAGCACAAGATATTTAAAGTTATTTAAAATATAGACCTTTAAAATAATTAAGACTAAGAATTTTTAGATATCCATTATATATTTATATTTAACAAGAAAAAGACTCAAAATTCAATTTTAAAGTTAAAAAATATATATTTTTAGATTATAGAAAATTTGTGAAAAGGTACAAAGTATTGGTTCCTTGTATAAGTTAGATCATTGTAAGTAAACATGTGAAGATCATATAGAGGCTCTTTTAGTTCATGCATATATTGCTAAGAGCTAACATGAAGCCTTAATGGAAGAAAGAAAATAAGAACTTTTGA